ATTATTATTATTATTATTATTATTATTATTATTATTATTATTATTATTATTATTATTATTATTATTATTATTATTATTATTATTATTATTATTATTATTATTATTATTATTATTATTATTATTATTATTATTATTATTATTATTATTATTATTATTATTATTATTATTATTATTATTATTATTATTATTATTATTATTATTATTATTATTATTATTATTATTATTATTATTATTATTATTATTATTATTATTTTATTATTATTTTATTATTACAATCATGCTATCGAGTACAAGGCAATATCCAACAAATTTCTATCACTGAAAATCCAATTCTCTTTGTACAACCCTGGCGAGGCCTTCGGGGGGCCACATGATTTCTGCTTATCTACTCCGCTCGGCAGCCGTCTTACACCCGCTCTAAAGGCGCATGTCGCTTCAAGCCATCCAAGCGCCCGTCTCTGCTGTCCACTAGCGTTCACCGTGCTTCTCCTCGGACCATCTTCTGCTCCAATATTAATACCTCACGAACAAAGGCCGAATCTGCGAACTGGTGAATGACCGGTGGTATGATGTCTCGGCCTCGTCGGCACACGTTGTCCGATGCCTTTTCGCATAAGAGTGGAGAATGACCCGATAAGAACATATCCCTCTTGTCTCTTGCCTTTCTCGTCTATGCTGACAGCACACAGTTGAGCTGCGTTAGCAACCATCACGCTAGGAAATAGAAGGACGTCAGGGAAGGCTCTAAGGCCGCTGCTTCCCCCGCATGTCTGGTCGAGTCTTAAGGCCTGAGCACTCGGAACACGTTCCCCGTTCTTCCCCACTGCCCCACTCGTCCACACCCCGCTGTTCAGTCTTCCTGCTCACCAGTACCCCGCTCCTTCAACCATTGCAATAGCAAGATGACCGCCAGTGCACACTCCCACAGCGGGCCTACAACCCCCCTACTCTCCGAGACAGCACTCGGCCCCGAGTCGAGCACACCGACGCCCACTACCCTCCTCACTCGATGCTCCTCCCCCGTCCCCTCTCCACCCAAGAGCCGCACCCCCCTCCCCAAGTTCCAGCTCTTCATCCTCTGCATCGTCATGCTCGCCGAACCGGTAAACTACACCCAAATCTTTCCCTACGTCAACGACATGTGCATCCGTCTAGGCTACGCCAAATCCGAAAAGGAGGTTGGCTTCATCTCTGGATTGATCGATTCCCGTACGTCCTCTCCTGCTGGATGACCGGGCTCGCCTGCTTACCCAAGACAGTATTCGCCATCGTCCAGCTGTTCACCATCATCCACTGGGGCAGGCTCTCGGACTACATAGGCCGGAAACCGGTGCTCATCTCCGGCCTCTGCGGTGGAGCGTCCTGCACTCTGCTCTTTGGATTCTCCCACAGTCTGTGGCTGACCATCTTCGCTCGACTGCTGGGTGGTGCGTTGAGCGGGAATCTGGTCGTGTGCCAGAGTATTGTGAGTGAGATAACGGACGAGACGAACGAGGCGCAAGGTGTGCCCTCTTTTCCCTCGTCAACGGAATCCCACTAACTGTGAACAGCGTTCGCCCTCATCTCTCTTATGTGGGCAGTCGGAGTTATAGTCGGCACCTCCGTAGGGGGCACCTTCTCACGTCCTGCAGAACAGTTCCCAAGGATCTTCGACACCCCTTTCTGGCGTACGAACGCCTACCTCTTGCCTTGCCTCATCGCAGCCTGCATCAGCACCGTGGCGTGCCTCAGTGCCATCACCTTCTTGCGCGAGACTCATCCCCGCAAGCTTGCCGAACGCGCTGCCCGGCAGAAGCAGGTCCAGGCGGGGAAAGGCGTGCTTGGAACGGCCCTTTCTTATGGTACGATATCCGAGCACGAGCCTACCGAAGTCGGTCCTCTCCGTCCAACGATCTCCGAGCTAGAAGCGCAAGCCCACTCCCCTCCGACCAAGGACGCCCCTTTCTCCTACATCCAGATCCTGCGCTCTCCAGGCGTGGCAAAAGCCCTTGCAAGCAGCTTCCTGATGATGTTCATCAACCAAGCCTGGGACGTCGTCTTCATCCTCTGGGCATACACCTCCATCCGCCTAGGCGGGCTAAGCATGTCCCCCCTCGAGCTGGGGTACTGCCTCGCCTCCGCGGGCGCTGTAGGCGCCTGTATACAGATGCTCGTCTTCCCCCGCGTGCAGCGCGCGACTGGACTGGTGCTCTACCCCTGGCTACTGGGGGTTGTAGCACTGCAGTTCATAGGCGCGCCGGGACTGCATTGGTGGGTCAGCTTGTGGGGGGTCGACAGGCCAAGAGGGGAGTTAGTGCCCAGCACGTATGTGGGGGCGTTAATATTGTTATGGCTAGGCAGAGTAGCAGCTATGATTTTCCCGTACGTCCCTCTTCCCTTCCTAAACCTAACTCACACTTCCCAGACTGAACTTCATCGTCCTCAAACGTGTCGCTCCCTCCAAGTCCTCCGTCGCCTCTACCTACGGCTGCGCACAGGTGGTAAACGCCGGGGCTCGCGCCATCTCCCCCTGGTTCGTATCCTCCCTCTTTGCGATCTCGGTGCAGCATAACCTACTCGGAGGGGACCTGATGTGGGCGGTCATGTTGCTGCTTACTCTGGGGGCGGTAGGGTTTACGAGAGGGCTGCCCGGGTGGGTTACTGAGGCTGAGAGAGCGAGAGAGAAAAGGGAACTGGATGAGCCTGTGCCGGTACCTGCTGGGGAGGTGTAGAAGTTGGTTCATTTCTTGTATAACTATAGAAACATTGGGAATGAGTCGTTTGCAACAAAGAGTGTCGGAGCCGAAGCTTCCCCGGAAGGCGCTATGAAACCTTATTGTTTCCGTTCTTAGTTTCCATTGATGAAAACATCCGAAATGAACGGAATGCCAGCAATGGAAGCATTCCGTTGGAAATCCAGGTTTCCCCAGATGGCCACAACTTCTTCCTCTTACTGCACTATCATCTCCTCCTCAAAGGCTGCTGTATAGCCAACTGTCGATTTCTTCATCTTTTGAGGCTGTCACTTGCCCGACACATTCTTTACTCCCACACGCTCGTTCTCATCATCTCCAAGTTCCTCGTGAAACGCTACCGTCTTTCTTGGCGCCGAGGTTGACCCGACCCGTAACTGCGCCTGACCGATTCCCCCGACCCACTGCGGTGCTCACGATCCACAGTGTTGATCACTACCGTACTTCGCGACGATCGCCCTCCCGCATCCAACTGTCTCAGCTGCAAACCCGAGCCCCAAAGCCGAAGCACGATGAAGTTCACCGCTGTGATCGCCATCCTCGCCATTACGGCTTCTAGTGTCGCTCTGCCCGTCGGATACATGCGTAATTGGAGGGACAACGAAGTTCGCGCGGAATATCTCAACTACCCTGCGAACTGAAACCGTCAAAATGATGCTACAGAGGCGACCCTCAGACGGAAGATGAAGCGGTGTTCCTGTTTTCTATTCTGGGTTCTTGGGCAATCGGTTGTTTGTCGAGTTGTTGCGTTCTTGAATCGCGCATCCGCGTTTATACGCCGTTAGATACGGTATTTTGTCTTCCTTCTGTCTTTCCAGCAGAACTTCGCTCTTTTCCTCCTCCACCGTCCTTACTTGGTATTTACCTCAGTTTCCTACGTTCCTGTACTCATTAAGAAATTCAGAAACAACAAGTTGGAACAATGCTCCAGGTCATCTGAACGACCTTCTTTTCGCATTAGAACTTTGGGCGACCTTGCAACACACCAGCGCCTTCTATCGAATGCCAGGAACTTGCCAAGCCCGTGTTCCTCTGGTATTAATAAAAACGACACTGCCACCTGATCCTTATCTGGTCCATCTCCACCCCAGTCAGGGATTCCATAGGCGCCCATGCATGATTGGACGTCCTGCTTGTTATCGACGGCAATTGTGCAGCACAAGGCACATTACTCTCTATATCGAAATCTTACAAAACACCACCTGATGGAGCTATACCGGCGTCGGCCATCCAATCATGTGGGGCGGAGCTCTCTGGCTTGGTCCGGCCCTCCAGTCTGTCCTGCTTCTCTTGCGTGCTGTTACCGACTTCTGTGTTCCGTGCCGCCTTCTTCGCCCCTTTCTGAGTACAAGCATGCTCTCGTATAAAGGAGTAAAGGCAGGGTGTAGCTGTACGCCCTCCGGACAGTAATCCAACTGCAAAAATGGCCGCAGCGTCATCGGGAGCGACCACTCCCCTTCTCGCAGACATGGAAGACGATGAGCTCGAGCAAGATCTCCCCAAGCCTGTACCCCTTTCCGGCTCCCCCGATTCCATCAGCTCCATCAGCACGACGCCCCTCAAATCGCGCAGACCCACCCCTCTCCCAAAATTCCAGCTCCTCGTCCTGTGCATCATCATGCTCGCCGAGCCTGTCTCGTACACCCAGCTCTTCCCCTATGTGAATGACATGTGCTACAAGTTGGGCTGGGCGGCGAGCGAGAAGGAGGTAGGGCATATCAGTGGGTTGATTGATGGGTGTGCGTGCTCGCCTTTCCAGCCACACGGCTCCCAATGCAGCGCTCACACTGCCCGCAGTGTTCGCTATCGCCAACCTTCTCACGGTAATGCACTGGGGCCGGCTTTCCGACAGGATCGGTCGCCGCCCAGTACTGATCCTCGGCCTTGTTGGACTCGCTAGCTGCAATCTCGTATTTGGCCTATCGCAGAACTTGTGGGTGTGCGTCGCCGCGCGGCTGGCAATGGGTGCACTCTGCGGAAATGGGGTGGTCACGCAGAGTATCGTGAGCGAGCTTACGGACGAGACAAACGAGGCACAAGGTCCGTACTTCTCTTCCCTTTGCTACCAAAACACCGCTGACAAGCGCGCGGGATAGCATTCGCCTTCATGTCCCTAATGTGGGCAGTGGGATGCATCGTGGGTCCAACAATTGGAGGGACCTTCTCACGCCCTGCTGAACAGCTTCCCCACTGGTTCGACACGCCATTCTGGCAGGCTAACCCTTATCTCCTTCCATGCCTCATCAGCGCCGGTATCATGATCCTCTCCCTTGCCTCTGCAGCACTATTGCTGAAGGAGACACTCCCTGCTGCTATCCGCGCTAAGCGGGCTAATCAGACTGAGCAGGAGCGCGCAGAAGAAAGGCAGGAGGCGAATGAGCACTTGCACACATCGGAGCGTACGTATGGTGCGATGGACGAACAGTTCCCCCAGGAAGCTGTGGGGATCTTGCCCCGGAAGGAGGACAGGGTATGGACGACTTGGGAACTCGTCAACGCACCAGGGATGGTCAAGGCCATGGCGTGTACATTCTTGATGATGTTCGTAAACCAAGTGCGTCTCCTTCCGTCTGATGACGATATCTCCTTACCCATGCGCACCAGGCCTGGGATATCGTCTTCATCCTCTACTCGTACACCAATATTTCCTTGGGCGGTCTATCCCTCTCCAATATCCAGATTGGTTATTGCCTCTCCTTTGCCGGCTCTGTAGGCGCTTGCATCCAAATATTTATCTTTCCCCGTATCCAGCGCCGCTTTGGAATGCGAATGTACCCCGTCGTGCTTGCTGTGCTGCTGTTTATGTTCCCAGCCGCGCCGGTGCTAAGTAACGTCGTGCGGGGGATCATGGGTGAGCAGGACCGAGGAGACGCGGGCGCCTTAGCGGTTGTGGGCGGCTGTGGACTAGCTTTTATGGGAAGGGTTGCGGCGATGGTTTTCCCGTGGGTTAAACTCTCCTTTTCCTCCCTCCTCTTTCCCCACTCAACTTACTCCATTCCGGCAGGCTGACCTACATCCTGTGCAAACGTATCACCCCCGCCCCCTCCGCCCTCGCATCTACTGCTGCGCTCGGCGCAACCGTTGCTGCGGGTGCGCGTGCGATTGCCCCCTGGTTCGTATCCTCTTTGTTCGCATGGTCTGTCGACCTACACTTGCTGGGAGGATACTTGATCTGGGTGCTCATGACGCTGATAGTCTTGTGGTGTGTGTGGTATGCGAGGGACCTGGACACGGCTTTGGCAGACGCAGAGAGGGTCAAGGCAGAGAGGTTAGGCAACGTGGACGCGATCTGCGGTCCATGATGACGGAAGAGGGATGTACAAAGCTAGCTTAGTCATGCCAGGAGAAAGGAAAGGAGGCGCTAGAAGCCGCGAGTCTTTGTGCGTGGGAAAATCGGGCCAAACAGATGCGATGATAGGCATTCTGACTACAACAATCTGTACACAAGAAAGCGTGCAGGAAAGACCGGAAAGATCCATTTTATCCAACACTGCCTCTTCTTTGACATGCCGCCGGCTGCGCGCATCCATCCACTAGTACTCTAGTGTCACAACATGGCCGTTGACAACCCCGATGGAGCGTGAGCATCGTGCCCCGTTTATGGACAGTACATCTTGATGATGGCCATATTCAACTTCCCATTATCTGAGTTCGCCTCAGTAGCGTTCATCCGAATCGCACCTGGGAATCTCGATTGTCTTCCAGAAAGATCTTATGCAAATCGAGCCGAATGGTCAAGATGAGCTGATTCCATAACATTGACATGTTAGGAGATGTTGGGATCTGCCGGTTTCTTGTTGATGTTTTACAAGCATCGTTGATGACACCTTCAAACATGTTGATATACTGCTCGACATGGCTCGACTGTCGTCCGTTTAGTCAGCTTCGCTGGCGTGGGTGAGCTGAACATGGATGCCCGGCAAGGCTGTGGCAGAAAATTATTTCGTAATATCTTCCTCGTTTGATGGGGAGTCGTGAGGCCATATATCCACGAGATCGGTCGCCAGTTGGACAGCAGGTTTCAGATAGAATGGTCACTTCTACCTGGATACGCTTGCAATCTTTCGGACTGGACCAAAAGTGTATTGCTGCGTTATGACCACAGGGAGGTACATCGCTCTCCTGCTGATGTGGGGTGCATTGGGAAGACCCCAGGGCGAATCTACAGGTCCTGGTGGTATTGATTCTGTTATTGTCGTCTCAGATCTGACACTCCCCCTACAGATAGGGAGGCTCACTTTGGGCGTGTTACGTTCCTAGTTTGAATCCGTGGCGTGTTTAAATGATGAGAGAACAGATGTCGCAACTGTAACGGTCATGGTGATCCGTGAGACACTCACGATGGGCAACCGCTTTGTCGACCGCGGGTGTTCTTTATCCCTACTGTCTCCATACCGCATGCGATCTTAATTATCTGGAGCAGGAGCAAATATAAACGAATCGAGAAAGTTTCAGAAAGTTGTGGAGACGACGGAAGAAGACAAGATGCGGCGGTGCTGACCAAGGTAATGACAAGTTGAATTGATCGAGGCCGACCCTCCACTCCGAACCGTTCCATCCACGTCTGACAAGAATTCGACTCGCCTCGGCCGGTCTATCCAGTGGAAGCTGTCGCTATGGGTCTCCCCCAGGGCAGAATACAGTACGGGCCGGGCTGTACATGGCACCGGCTCACATCTCAGCTTCCCAAGGGGCTATGCACTTGCAGGTGTTGGTTGCTGGCTGCCGTTGCACCAGTACGAGAAGCCCTTCCCCGATTTCCGCCTTTAAGCATGCCCGGAATCCCCTATCGGACGCCAATCGAGGCTGATCGGAGGTACTGGCGCCGTTAGCCGCCGGAGGTCCCTGTCAAGAAGCGGCATGAAGACGAGGTCTCTTCTTTAAATGGACGTTGCGACGACGCAGTGCACGGCCCTAGGCTAGTTGTGTAACGGTTCTTTGTCAAGATGGCTGTCCTGTAGCATTACATCAGCCATCGCCCCGGTATATGGCGGACGAACTAGTATTACTACCAGGGTCGAATACCGTCCGAAAGAGGCAGAACCCCTCTTACCAGCGCTTAGCGGTCGTGCCTTAGCCGTTTCGACGAGATGCAACTGTGGCTCCAGTCAGCAAGCACATTCTGTCTCCCATTTCTCTCCAGCTTCCGTCATCGGTCATTCCGGCCCCAGCTCCTTTGGCCAAGTGAATTCGCTTATGCGAGCTGAACAATTTAGTCAGAGCCTGAGTGGCCGTGACGAGATCGGGCACGACTTGACCTTCAGGAAGGATCTGACAGGCATATTTAGCGTCTTTTCGATGGCCAAATATCGAAACTTTTGATTTTCAAGCGAAGTTCCGCGATTTGATCTTCCAACTCTCGTTCCACCCTCTTGATTTCTGCTTGCTCCACCTCCACGAAGCTCTCTTCCTCTGTTCCTGCTCCCTTTGGGACCTCATCCTCGTTGCCTTGAGGCTTCTTTATTCTGCGCTTTGGCAAAGGCTGTGAGCGGCGACTTAGGTCATGATCATACTCCACTTGGTCCCTCGACTTCTTCGATAAGCATTGAGATCCCAAGCATAAAAGGCGCATCCAACAGTTCTCGTGCATCCTCCTCGGAGCCCACCACTCAAGCTTTAGCATTGCGAGTAGTACAGTCACAATATGCCCGTCATCCCTGCCTCAGGCAGAGTTCTTGTTACGGGTATGCCTCTTTGTCTCGCTTGTCTCATCGCATTCACCCAAAACCATCAGGAGCAACTGGTTTTCTGGGTTCGTGGACAGTACAGGATCTGCTTCGGCAGGGATACTGGGTTCGAGGCGCCGTGCGTTCGCGAGAGAAAGGAGAGCTGCTTGCGCGCTTCTTGACACCGTTCGGCAACCGATTCCAATATGTCGTTGTTCCCGACATGAAGAAGCAAGGTGCCTTTGATGAGGCCGTCAGAGATATTGACGGCGTTGTGCACACGGCGGCGGTAGTCGACTTTAGAGGGACTTATGAAGGTAAAGGGATTTCATGATCTGTTGTGAACTAGATCCTGACCGTTTGAGAAGGAGTTTTCATAACCACGATCGAGGGCGTCATGAGCCTGTTTCATAGTATACGTCGTTGCGGGTATGTATCCTTTTCTTGCTCTTGCTGTCCCGGCTCATTGAAAGTCTAGGACGCATGTTCGTCGTGTAGTGTTGACATCGTCCTTCGATGCTGTCCTGGAACCTCATCCACTAGGATATAACTATAATGAGGTGAGTTTCACGTGACATTTTCCCTTTGTTTACAATATATTCATAATTTTCAGCTGGACTGGAACAACCATTCACTGGGCCTGGTAGAGCAATACAGGGAGAGAGCCGCATCACATCACATCTACTTTGCAGCTAAGACGGTCTCTGAACGTGTTGCGTGGGATTTCATGAGGAACAACGCGCCTCTTTCATGGGATCTCGTATCCCTTACTCCTCCTTTTGTGGGTAAATTCATCTCCATCCGGGGCCATTGTGTAGCTGACAATGTTAGATGTTTGGTCCAATGCTTTTGAACGTCAGTGCTACCATACATGTCCTTGCGGTTATGTCGACTCACTATTACGTAGACGATCAACTATACATCAAACTTTCTCTATTCCCAGATTCTCAAAGATTGGCCTACCAATCAGGTCGGCCAGTTCGTAGGATTCTGGATCGACGTCCGCGATGTTGCGATGGCGCACGTTCTCGCCCTGCAGAAGGACAAGGCGGGTGGGGAAAGGATCTTGATCGCTGCCGGTCCCTTCGCATGGCAAGACGTCTACGACTCATTACAGACCGTTGAAAGCTCGTTTCAGATGCCTCGTGGGAGCCCTGGCGTCAAGAGAGGTTTGGTAAACGCCGCGGACACAACCAAAGCTGCGCGCATTCTTGGTCTCAAGTATCGGGGCCTCGGCGAGGCTGCTCGCGATACCATAATCAGCTGCAGAGTCCGCCGAACATGTGTGTAGCTTGCATGTCACTGCTCTCAAAAGTACTGTAGCTGGGCTGTAGAATATATCGAGCTCAATCTTGATATTGACAACCAGAACTTTTGTAGAAAGGTTTAGCCAATGCTCTTAATGTTATGTATGCCAAACTCGATACTGCTTCGAAACCGTCCATCTTGGGACTGAGAAGACCTTTGCAAATGTTCTCTGCCATTGGAATGATAACTTTTAAACGGATGATTCCAGCAGGTTGCGCAGTACCTTGCACGATGAGCGCGAGTCACAGATCGATCGATCAGATAGAGGAGGCCTCACTGGCCTCCTCAGTCCTCTTCCCCGTTTTATTAGATAATTTTCATATTCATAGACTGATGTAAAGTGTATCGCATTTGTTGTGCACGTGGGTTTTTGAAAGCGACGTACATTCATCAAGGTCCCTCATTCTGACAGGGATATCAGTATTTTGGCTGGGCCACTCTCGGTCGAGCCTCTCCATATACGAAGTCCCCACAGGCCTCATGTACACCTTTGGAAACCTGATTGAACACCAAACGCGTTTCTTTTCTTTGGAATCGAAAGTGATGTAATTACTCCTTCTCAAATAACAACCCTTTCAGTCTTCGGCTTGGGATTCTATTTTCAGATCCAATATCTCTTTACCCACTTGGGCAATATAATCCCAGACATTGTTAGCCATTGCGACATATATGTACCGCTTCTGCTCCCCATGTATGATCCGGGTGGTTTCGCCGCGGGGGGACCTGCGCAGGCACGGAAATGCATATGCTGCCTCGGCAGATAAGCGAGAAGGTTTGCATTTGTATTAAAATATTAGACTTCCAAACAGCTCCTGCAAAACCAGAAGAATAGATCCTCAAACCTCAAATGGGATAGGTATACCAAACGAATACAGTCGGACCCGCAACTAAGCATGGGCTCGGGGGACACTATAAGCCATGCTTAAGGACGGGCCATGCTTAACCATGGCTGCGTCGGAGCCGAAATATTTACCCGGGCCAATCATTAAGCCCAAATATTTGCTTCCGCTTGAGTTTAAAGGACAAATAGGAGCCGCCCAGGAAGGATTTCCACCAAAATTGGAGTCCGTGGAGCCCAAACTGTTAAGCATATATATGGGAAACTAGTTCCCCTGAGCTATGCATTATGTTTAAGCCAAGGTACGCTTAATGGCCCATATCATTTCCTGACTCCCACGTCGGTGGACCTGCAAAGCTATGCCTACAGAGGGGCTATGCCTAATATGGTGTATGTGTAATCGCGGGTCCGACTGTATAGACAACTGGGTCGTGTCTGTCCGCAAATGAATGTATAGACAAACGTTGTTGTAAGGGATACGCAAGGGATCGTCGGCCGTCACTCCGTTGTCCAGGCTGCAAGTGTGTCGCGGGAACCATAGGTGTGGGCCATTAATTGCAGCGCTGAGTATTCGCGTGACCCTCCGGCGAAGGGCCGACGTTCAGTCAAGCCGTTTAGGCTTGGTCTTGCTCTTCTTGCTCCTCTTCAAGGGCGTCTCAACCCCGCTGCCCGCATCGCTCTCCACAGCACTAGCCTTGATCGCTTTCGCCTCCACATTGCCCTTGTTCAGCTCCTTCTCTGCTTCCTCCTTCTCCAGCTTATCTAGGTCCCGCCTCATCTCCCTGAGCCCCTTTTCGCGCCAGATCCACGCGGCGGCCATCACTGGCCCTGGACCAAACGCCGGGATACCCTGGACGAAAGCGATCGTCGTCGGGCCTTCTAGCCCTTTTCCAAGTTCGATACTCAGCCAGAGCGCGGCGACGAGACATGAACCGAACATGAGCGCGTTGTCCCATTTGAGCATGTGCCACGCTGCGGCGTTGGTCGACGATCCGGGTGGAAGGTTGAAGATGCTCGGAAGGAACATGGATTGCAGCTCTCCGATAAAGTTGACGGAACTGATGATACTGTAGACGACGCGTAGGTGGGAGGCGAGTCCCAGGAGACCGCAGATGCCGTAGGTGACCTGAGTGGCCCAGTACCCGTCGAGCGTCGCGCCTTTGCGAGTCACGAGCCTGCGTAGAGTAGAATAGAAGACCTTGATAATTGATATGTAGATCGGGAAGGCTTGCCACACGGCGGCGATGAGCGAGTCCGGACGGAGGGCGAGGTACAACGACGGTGCTACGTACCCCAGCAAAAGGCCGAGCAGCGCTCCTTCAGCATCTGCGCGGGCGATCTGGCCTTGCCGGATACGCTTGGGCTCGTCGGCAGTGAGGATGATAGCAAGCATCTGGAGGGGGATGATTATCCCCCCTCCTAGGGTTTGGTAGGCGATCCCCCAGAGCCAGGGCGCTGCTAGCCAGAGACTGCGGTTCCCTCTGCTTGCTTCTAGCCATCCTGCTGCTGCGGGAACGGCGAGAGAGCCAAGACATTCATAGACCGTTCTCCAGGCTGCGGTGTTAGGTTCGAGGGCGGTGAGGAAGAATTCCGAGAGGATGCAGAGGAAGCCGCTGACGGGCTCGGGGAGATAGGGAAGGGTGTAGAGCGAGAGGCGGGAGGCTGGGGGTGTGGCACACGCTTGGATGAGGCTGTCGCCGCCGTTGTTGGTGGTCATGTGTACGCGGATGAAGAAGACACCGGCGAGGGAGGCGGCGACGTAGACCGGTGTGAGGAAGGGCTTGTATTCGGACGACATTGCGAGAGCTGGTGAACTGGTGTCCTATTGCAGATCTGTCGGTTGGGTATGTCCACGTCGTCAGAGATAGGTTGCTTGTCGTCTCAGTTGATGGGGGTCGTGCTGCACACGACCTTTTCAAGTTGGGAGATGGCGTGGAAGGGGGCTGAGACGACGTCAACGCGTCCACGAACGTTCTCTACACCGGTGCGGATGTCCGCCACCGGCCCGTTCTCTCACCCAGGGAAAACAAACGTAAGAACTTGTTTGTAATTTTTTCGATTTTTTTTACGTGATGATGTTGGCCTGAGTATTTGTGGTATGATGATTTCCATTTCAGTCATTATCAGTCACGTGTCAATATTATCAGCGAAGAATATGAAAGAATGCAGTGCATCTCCATTATTCTTTAAAGTTCTTTCCATAACTTCTCCAGAACACATGACCAGGCAGAATTTCTCTTCTCTCCAACGCTGAGGTTGACAACCCGTGTGGGCGCTAAATTTCGCCTGGTGACTGTTAATGTAGCCTACCGTTGCCCCTTCCTGTTCAACCACCATGGAGCCCCTCCTGGTCCAGCCCGCTCCCCTCCCAGCCCGTGCACTGCTCAACTGCATCCTGCACCGGCATCTCCCCTCCGGCGCTCACCTCTCAGCCCGCATCGTCGAAACAGAGTACTACCACCAGTCCGACCCAGCTGCGCACTGTTACCCTGGCACGCGCACGCCCAGGAACAGCGTGATGTTCGGTCCTCCGGGGCGGGCGTATGTGTATCGGAGCTATGGGATACACTGGTGTTTGAACTGTGTTGTCGCGCCTGATGGGGAGGGGGGAGGGGTGCTCATTAGGGCTGTGGAGCCGGTCGAGGGAGTGGAAGAGATGACCAAGCTTAGGAACAAGGGGCAGAAGAAGGAGATTGAGAGGCACAAGCTTGGCAGTGGGCCTGGGAATGTTGCTCAGGCTCTTGGGGTGGACCTGGGGTTTGGGGGGATGAACCTGTTGGATCAAGGGGAGTTGTGGCTCGAGCAAGGGACGGAGTTGGCAGATGAGCAAGTGGGCGTCAGCCCAAGGATTGGGATTACGCGAGCTCTCGACCACCCATGGAGGTTCTTTATCAAGGACAACCCCTCTGTCAGTGGTCCGAAAGTCGTCCAGGTCAAGAAAGTAGTGAAGGTGAAGAAGGTTCGCACCGTCACCAGCATACGGGCGCCTAAACGACCGCTGGAGGACCCGGAGGGCACACCGGTGTCGGACGAGAGCTTTGGTAGTGCAGCGGCATCAGAACAGCCTCGACGATCTGTGCGTTTGGCAAGCAGGTTCTTCGCGATGGATACATGAGCAGCAGGAGAAAGGATGGAAGGTGTTACAATACGATTACATACCTAGCAAATTTGTTAGCGTTCGAGGAATAACTCTGTACCATGTTTCCCGCCCTTCGTAGAAACGTTTTCAAACTGGACAAGTTCGACCTTCTTAACGCACCCATTCTTGTCGACACACAGAATGGGAGAGGCGTTTCCCTAGCAAAAGAGTAAACAACTTGCTATTCCGGAGCAACATAGTGTTCGTACAGACGAGACACAAAAACAGAATGGTGTAACAAGCGTAAATATGCAACAGGGAGTGGAAAAGGACAGATAGTGTTCATGAAAATCAATTGCGTAGGAGGATCGGGGCCGCGGCACGGCTACCAGGCCGGCCTTTTGGCTTGGGTCGAGAAACACGCAATGAATCGGTCGGGCTGTGAGATGGTAAGCATCGAGATCCTGCATTAGCGGCAATGGCATACCTGAGAAGCATGCCCACCGTCTCGTTCTCCCTTGCTGTAGAGGTTGTTGTAGGCTTTCCTCGTCGAGGCTTCAACGTGGTCTCCTCTGTGAAGATGGTCATCTTGGAGTCATTTGCCTCCAGCTTGGCTGCTTGCTCCATCACGAAGCCCTTGCGAACTGCTGCCAGGGAGGCCTTCTGGCCAGGTACGTTCTCTGACCGGCGTGCCGGACCCAACGCGTGACGCCGTTCGGTGCTCTTCACACGAGGTCGTTGTACAATCGCCGTTCGTATGGGACCCATCTGCTCGTCGTCCAGCACAGATGGCCGTACTGGTCTTGCATCCTCGAGGGAGAAGATCTTCATATCCGCTAATGGCAGAGCGGTCGACGCGGCCTGCTTGGGCAGGAGTGGCAATGGCGGCAACGGCTCTCGAGGGGGTCTGCTCTCCTCTCTCGAAGCCGGCTTGCCTGATGTCGTCGCGGGAAGTGCTGGCACATCAGGTACTTCCGATGTCTTCCATTCTGGTAAGGGATATGGCGAGGGCTTTGAGTTAGTCCTAGAGCGAGTCCGGGAGCGAACCCGGGGACGTGCGGGGAGGTCATCCCGTGGCTTGAACTTGTTCTGGGACATGGCTAAGAAGTTCAAAATAGCTTCACGAGTAGTAGGAAGCTCCGAACGATCGTCTTCCACCTCCTCTGGCTCCACGATACCCGGGAAGAGCACTTGACTCTGACGCAGTTCCTGCGCGAAGCTATGTTTCTTCTCCAGGCCCTCGCGACGGGTTCTGTTCACATTGTTCATAACATCCATGTCAGACTCCACGGACGCTCGACGCGAACGGTCGCTTGGACTTGGTTGTGCCGTTGAGCTCTCCTCAGTGATCGTGTCGATCACATGCCCGCTGTATTGGCGATGTCCCTGGCCATGAGGTCGTGCACGTCCGGGAGCAGCCACAGGTGTGCTGTTCCTCACGTTTGGAGCAGACGCGTTGCCGAGTGTGGCATGCAGCTTAGGAAGGTCTGTGCTTGAAGTAGACCCCGCCTCGCTGGACGTGTATGAAGGCGTATCGGGGACAGACCCAACACCAAGCATTACACGCGGACTCGGCTCTACGCCAGCCTTCTTCCTGGCTGAAGGTGGTGCTGGTTTGACTATCTTTGGCGCATGGGCTAAAAGTGTGGTTCAGTGTGACGTTGTCTAACAAGAAAGACCTTGATTCACCAATTTGATCACTTAACCCGGAAGCGCTCAAAGCCACTTTCTCCATTTGTTCACCAGATCGCCAGGCATCGAACACGTTTGACACCTTTGATTCGCTGAAGCGCACAGTCCGTGTAGAGTCTGATGGTTTCTCCTTGATATCAGACTCCTCAGCGACCCTTCTGCCCTCGTCTGTTGCCTTGAGCTGCCTGTTCAAAGCGGCGTGTACACTCGGCGAGCTCAGCATACTTGATCGATGGGTCCAAGCAACATCACCGTTGAGCATGGTCATCATTGTGTCATCAGGTCCTGGTGCAAAGCCAGAGTCTTGACTCATTGCAGAAATCGGCCGAGGTTTGCGGATGTGGCCGTGGAACAACCCAGGGACGGATGACATGTCTGAAGTGCTTTCCCTCGAGAACAAGGAGTCAGAAAGCGAAGCACGCTTTGAGTCCGTGGGGAACGATGAGTCGTCGTCATCGGAGAATCGTTCATCGTCAGTCTCCATTCCAGCCCTTGAATGCCACTCAGAATCAGACGATGGACGACTGCTGAAGTCTGCTTCACTTCCACCTGGGGATGTGACGATAGACTCCAAAACTGTGCCGGTATTCGCGGATTGGAACATCTTGTCGTCTGCAATACCAGGACGACCCCGTCTTTGGATGGACATGGGACTCATATCCGAACCTTCACTGAAAATGCTATCTCTTGAAACGTCCCGACTGTTGCTAGCGGAAGCCACGATGCCTCCAACGCTTCCGTATGTTTGATAGGCTTGCGCGACAGACTGGCTATCAGCCGACTCGCCCCGGTTCCGCATGAGAGAGTTCCGCTTATTGTTGTTAAGGAAAGCGGGGGGCGGTCCAGGGATGGAATCCCGGTTGGTATTAGGACGATACGAGAAGGGGATACCCGGTCGGCTTGGCGCATGATACGACCATGTTGACGCAACGCTGTCGTTTGACTGCCTATTGAAACGGCGTCTGAGCTGATCCTCATCCATGGATGCCATGGCCTCTGCTGTCAGAGGACAAATGCTGCTGTCGATCGAAACAAGACGGGCGCGTTCAGAGGTAGTGTAGCCCATCGGATTGGCAGCACCAGGGTTGATAATCGCTCCGTATGAGGAAATGGACGGGATACTTTGTTGGGTATCACTCTCTGAAGGTGGACTGACTGCAGACGACGCATAAGAATTGAACGAGGCATAAGAGTCGCGATTGGGCTGGCTTTGAGGGAATGCCACTCCTTCATGTTGACCAGCTTGCTCGTCGCTGTCGTCGCTGACACCCAAGGACAACCTTTCCAAGGCCGGTTCGGTGATGTTCAGCAGCGCGGAATTTCCTGGCACACGTTCATTGTACATCGAAGGCAAGGACGAGAATGAGTCAACGGGAACGCGACCCTTGCGAATTTGAGTTTCTGTTTCATCACCGCTTACCGCCATGGGCGCGGGTGCTGGACTGTCCACTTGTGCAGATGTCTTGTCAATCTTCAGCACCGACGACAAGTACTCTTGATCTCCGAACATTTCTTGTGATAGACCGGCAACATACTTGACGAAGCTCTTCCGGTTCCGGGAGGACGGACCAGCCAATTGGTTGTATGTCTCGGTGAAGTCGAGGCTGTCTTCCGTGCCAGATGACATACGGGAGGCAGGGGACTGTTCTAATGGCGAGTCGCCGAAGGATTCCCGTGTTGGCGTAGACAATGTCGTATCCGGTTCTGAGGAAAACTCTGCATCCTTCGAAGGCATTCGACCAGGCATTAAAAGGGAAAAACTGTGCTCCGCCTCTGGAGTCGGTGGAAGCGGTATATCCGGGGGTGGTGACTGCGCCCGGCGAGCAACACCCTCCAGCGCCTCGAAGATTGCCCTTCCTAGCGCGCTGCGCTGTACTTCATGTTCGGATTCCGTTGATTTGGCAAGGGATTCCTGTGCGGAAACATAGACAGACGGGGATGACGGCGAAAGACTCGCGTCCTGTGCCATATACGCGAGGTAGTTGCCGCGGATGAACTCCAGGGAGGAAGGCGTGAGCGAGATCGATGCTACGTTCTCGTTGCCAGACAGTGCTTGCACCCTCTGATTGACCGGAACATTCGAACCGAGTTCGGGCTTTGCCGGCGTTGCGAAAAGGCTACCGATTGTTCCTTCCCCAGATAAGGTGAGGGTGGAATCGATCCCCACCCGCTCTGGAGAATTCAGCTTCGAGGAAACAGCAGCTTTGGCAAAGTCGATCGTCTGCAGGTCGGCGCTCAGCCTGATATCAGACTCTTCACGAGCCGGAGTAGGTTCAGGGGTGATGTCCCTCAGGTCGGCTGATGGAGCTGAACTGAGAGCTGCGGGAAAGAGATCCATCCACTCCTCGCGTGCGGCAGCAGACAGCGTCTTGTTCTGCTTGCCCCTGAGGTTCGATAAGCTGGGCATACGCTCTGCTACAGTGAAAGGAGAGTCCTCCAAGTCCGGAGTGGGTAAAGACAACACAGCAGCGTCATCCTCAATGGTTCGGGACTGGACCTTTGGCGTCGCTTGAAGGCTTGCTGCGTCCGGGTTGGTACAAGTGCGAGTAATGGCGGAGCGGACAAACAGGCTCGCGCCCGTGTCGAGAGGAGGACGTTGTCCCGGCCTGGCAGGAGAACATTCCGGTGTGACACCAATCGTAAGATTCAGTCTTGAGATGAGATCTGACAGGTCCGAGTTAGCAGCTGCAATAGCAGATATATCTGTAGATATGTGAGTGTTTCCCACACTTGTGGATGCGGCTCGAATCGTACCACTCGGTTCATCCTTCATGAAATCCATCATCACACCGTCACTCATCGGACGCTGGCTCTTCCGAGGCGTGCGCTGTGTATCCCGCTGAGGGACAAGCCGGACCGTGCGTCCCACCGTCGCCTGCCTTTCTTCAGCCTCGTCCTTCTTCGCAGCCACAGGTTCTTTCTTCGGAGTAGGGTCAAGCAGATCCGGCAAGTAGGTCGCGTTAGCAATCTGCGTAATCGGACTCATGGGACGCAGGACGCGCAGACCCTCGAACGGTTCGCTAGATTCAGGAAGCACGTACGGGATGGGAAGGGGGATGACTTCCTTCCCGTCGTCCATGCACTCGAAACTCGGTCGCTCAACTTCGACCCAGCTATCCCGATCCGGCTTCGTAGATGACACGGACCTCTCAGCCCTGTGCTTCTTGATCCCGTCGAACAGGCCCTGGAGACCAGGACGGCGCATCTTAGATCCAGTCCTGGCGACATTGGCTCCTTCCTGGGTGGCTGCCTGGAGCTCTGAGGTGGGAGGTGTCGGATAGTCTCGGCGAAGCAGATGCGGCGGAAGGGAGGTGACGTCCCGTGAAGAGACAGAATCGAAGGTTCCTGTGGAGCTTCGTGGCTTCCGAACCTTCTCCGTGTCAGAGTGGTTTGACGCCCTGCTAATCGAACGCAAGTGGAATATGCTCGCAGCGCCCCGGATGGTGCTGTCTGCAACATCCTTGACCGAGCGGACAGTTCCGATCAACGGACCAGGACCGGCTGCTGGTGCGTCTTCCGACCGTCTCGCGTTTGCGTTGAGCGGCTTGACAGGGCTGTTATCTGCGCTTGGACGGCCGGCTTCAAAGGACGAGCCGGAGGAAGTCGATCCCCCACGGTCACGACCCTTGTCCTCCCTCTGCTTCTGGCGGAACGTAGCGATGCTGCGGATACTACGCATGAAACGCGGTCCGTGTTTGTCTCCCTTGTCATCCTGGTCTTGAGGGACGAGACCGGGATAGCCCACATCAGGGGTCAGGGTTGTCATGTTCGTGAGTGGTGCTAAGAAGCCAGGTACAGGCGAAGTAGACCGAGGTATATGGTCGAGGACCATACCAATAGACTCGGGCCCAATAATTTGATCGTCTGGAAATGGGGAAGTCGCGCGAGAAACAGAACGACCAGAGAATAGCGAAGGTGTAGGAGCTAATGGATGCGATCAGCAGGTGAGATACTTGGTTATACACAGACTCACAGCGAGCACGCTCGGTCTCCATACTACGCCGACTCTCTCCACTTCGTCTTCCAATAGACGATGTGGCAGGGGCTGCACAGGCATGTTTAAGCAAGTTCAGGAAGGGGATAGGCGAACATACCACGTTCTTTATCCACGCTCTTCCTTCCGAGCGTCCTGGACCACAGTGACCTTTCTCTCTCTTTGACCTCGGTCACGGTGATGTCTTCAGCCGACTCCTTCCCAGCGTCCTTGTTAGGTCCCCATACGTTGAACAGCGAATCCAACCCCAGCCGGGAACGGGATTTCTTCCTTTCGAGACCGTCGGGGTTCTTGCTGCGAATCGAAGAGGCATCTCTTATCGTGCTGTGTTGACCAGTACTCCTAACACTTGACTGGCTAGTGATACTCTGCGCGCTAGCTGTTGTTGCCGAGCTAGCGGTGGTAGAGGAAGTCGCAACACTCGACGTTGTCTTCGCACTGGTGGCTGAACGGTTGGACCTGAAGCTGAGAAGGGTCGCCTTAGAGTCGACGCGTGTCCGCTCCTGGGCTTGGACAGCGCCAAGAGGAGACCGAACCGACGCGTTTCGCGACATTCCGCGTGGCTGGGAGACGCGCTCCGGTAACGGTGGAGAGGGATCGGTGAGGACGCGAAACCCAGAGAGAGTGGTCATGACCGCTTTCTTGGGTTCCTTGTCTTTCTTCTTCAAGGTCGCACCACCCCGTCGTCCCTCCTCAGGCTCGGCCCATGGAGCAACGCGTGTTCGATCCATCCTCTGCGCCAGCTGCCGCTCGACCTGGTCTCGCGCCAACCGTTCCATTATCGCCTCTGGCGGAACATGTCGTACGGGTTCTTGAATACGGACGCTCTTGACGCTTTTGGGTCTAATGCTGGCTGTGTCGGAGGTTATTGATGGTTTAGCAGAGTGACCAGGCGGTGTGGGAGCGGTGACACGGAGAGAAGGAATGAGGATGGGAACGGGGGATGCTGTTGCAGTCGGAATACGGGACGGTGGATATGCCATTGATGTGGATGAGGATGGAGGCAACGCGTTGCAAGTGTGTTGTCGATACAGCTGTTGAGAGATGATGGTAGATGTTGGGGAGTCGTATGCACAGATTGAAAGAGATTGAAAGATGAGAACGGACTGAAAGTGTTGTTTCCGGGCGTTTTGGGTCGTATATGCGTTTAGTGATGTGATTTTCTGAGTTTATTGATCCTTATTGATCGTCGTTCGGATGTGCGTCGTGTCCTCTTGTCGATCGTGTCGTTGCTGGCGTTACTGCTGGATGTATGCGGGTTGTTGTGAGGCCTAATGATGGTGGATGTCAGCATGATCGACCTCATTGTAGTTGAAGCAGGCAACAGCACATGCAAGACAAACAATTGCTGAAGGAGGAGGGATGTACTCACGAAAGAGGGTGTCGAAGTCGATAGGTATATGCGCCTAAATGAGTGAGGCGGTTGTCAGCAAACTCCAGTCAAGCTAAGCAAGCGCAACGCGGAGGAGGTGGAAGCGGGAGGCAAAGGTTGAGAGAGAGAGACTTGGCGCTCACCTTGTTCCTAGAACAAGTCGACTATGGCCTTCCCTTCCTCTGCTGGACGCGCTCGTTCTGTCTGTTGTTGTCAGCGCGTCCTTGAGGAAGAAGAAGAAGGGGAGGACATACAAAGGGGGTATCGAGGGGACGTCGTTAGCTGTGCCGTGTGGTTCAACTCTACCATGCGCATGCACGCGGGGGCGATGACGGCGCGTCAGGGAGCGAACGCGCTAGGCGGGAGGGGACGCGTCCAGGTCACGGGGGAGGGGTGAGGGCGATGTGTATGCGCGGGAACAGGGCAGAATAAACGCCTGGTGATGTTTTGAAGAGCCAAGATGCGTGGGAAGAAAAGTGGACTTTGGGAAAAGAGCGGTGATTGGCTGTGAGATCACCGGGGGAACGGGACAAACCAAACCCCGGTGCAGATCGCGTCACCACGTGCAGTCACATGTTGCCTCGTGTTTGCGTGTGGGTGACATTATAAAGGTGTGAGAGGACTGTACCAGATTATAACACCATCATGTCTCCCAGGTTTCTGGAGAGCATAGATTATGAACTGGACTGATTTAGGGACTACAATCACAATTGCAAAAGCATTGGAATGTGTCGGGTAGCTTTCGCATGACAAGCTGATAAGGGCTTGGTGACATGCCCCAATATATTGGGGCATGTCGCCAAGCCTGACCGACAGTCTCGGCTCTACACATCGTCTCGTGTCATAGGGCAGGTCTACAGAGGAATCGCCCTGAATCTTCGTACACTCCTCGAAAAATATAACAATCCATACATAGCAGCGTTTAGTTCCCACGGCCCGGGAAAATACGCAAAAGGGGATAACAGCAACGCTGGAAGCCAATCAATCCCAGTCCAAGTCATCATCATTCTCCTGCTTCCCCGATAGCGTGGGTAATATACCGTGTCTGGCTGTCATCAGCATCTCAGCCAGAGCAATAACCAGATATGTGCGCACTTCATCAACAGCTGTTCCACTCCACCCGCATCCTTCGCATCCCAATCCACCCTGATCCAGTTCTGCTTCAGGTCGCCAGCCTTATATACCAGCATAGTCGGTAACATGTCCAGATCCACCTCGTCTTCCTCTTCCTCGTATTCCCATTCTTCGTCTTCTACCAGGTCGTCCAGCCTGGCAGTACGGTCTTGGGATGATCCACCAGAGAGGAGGGATGCGAACCCCAGAGCAGCGGCTCGTGACCGCAGGAACTTGGTATAAGGGTAAGAGCGTGCGAGAAGAGCGAGGGTGGTATCAAGGGAATGACACGCTTCCACAGACTGTCTCCGTATAAGAACCTCGCTATACTCCAAATCTAGGAACCTCACCGAGTCATAAATGTGCACAACGACCCAAGCGTCCCTCTCCTCGACAGCATCAACAAACCCCTCCACGCCCACCTCTCTCAAATGTCCAAACCTCTTCCTCCCCTCCCCACCCTTCTCCGCCTCCCCACCCCCGCCAATCCGCACCAGCTTCCTCCCTCCAGCACGAAACTCCTCCTCTTCCCTCCAGCTGAGCGCTCCCCTGCCTTTCTCCTCCCACTCCTTCTGCTTCTCGCGCGCCTCCAAACTCTTCCGCCCTCGCTCGATCATACTCGCTTCCCTCGCATCACGTATCACCCCCTTAACACCCGTGCGTCCAGGCACACCCTGCCCTACCTGGACAGACGACGCATTTGGGTTGGGCGGCAGAGCCGGTGATGGGGAACGGGATGAGGCCGGGGAGAGAGTAGAGGGTGTGCGGGGAGGAGAGCGAGGACCCGAGTCCCCGAATATGTCACCGGTGAGGATGAGCTGCTCGAAGCGGTCCATCTGGCTGCTCTGGTGTGAAGGAAGGGAGGGAAGGGGTGGAGTAAGGACTCGGATTTGCCGCAGGGTCCCGTCATTACGGGATTGTCACGTGATATCTTCACTCCACGACAATATGATCGAAGAAGACGCTTCAGACGTCTCCCCTTCCCGTGCTGGTACCAGGTCGCTGCAGCAGATGGCTGAAAAGAAAATTGAGGCACTACAGCTGATGTTTGGTCTCGTTCTTCTCGTCCTTCCTATTCGTTGGTCGATATATAAGCTGACAAACAGATACCAGAGAGTAGACGATTTGAGGCAACGGTCCCGCGTTCTACTGAGTCAACAGCGGCGGAGGATCACTCGTGTGTAGTCGAAGTAGCCTATCATGAATAGGATCATGATCGAGAAACAAAGCGAGCGGAAGCTTGTTCGCAGGGTAAGGTGCAGGGTATCACGATGACCTGTTTTGGACACAGTCGGGCCGAGCCCAAGCAACTGTCCTTTGGGAGGAAGGACGCGCCAACTCCCACGTTGAGGGGTCCTCCAGGTTATGACATCAAAACCTTGGATTCATTCATTCCTTTCTTAGCATGTTCAGTTCACATCCGGCATCGTACAATCTCATGTCCGCCCTCATCCCCTAGTCAAAGCACAGTTAGCACCTGCTGGCCCCACCACTCCTCTCCCTGTTTCAGCTCTACAAACTGCTTGACATACCCCGGTTCGACACAGACATAATGCGCCCACCCGTTGGGCTCCATATCCGCCATGCTGGAACCTGTTTCCTGCGGGTTCCAGACGGTCACGTCCGGCAGGTTGTGCGTTTTGATCGAGATGTGCACTGAGCGGGGGAAGGAGAGGGTGTAGTTCCCTCCGGCGGCTTCGTACACCTGCCAACGGTAAGCATAGCGAGCAGGACAAAAGAGGGGGAGAACGCACCCTGTCCGTGTACTCCCGCACATCGACAATCTCACGCGTCTCCACATCCTCCACCATATTGCGTACTTTGTCCCTGTACGTGACCCCCTTAAGCGGCTGAACCTGGGCGATACTCGACTCCCCCTTGAAGTAATTATGCAGCAACGCCTGGAAAGCCAACGGTGCTGAGCCGGTATTGTGTACTCTCAAGCTCGTAGTCAGCTGGTGCTCAGCGAGGGTGACGGTGTACACCAGCTTGAACGGGTGCGGGAAGAGCTTGTCCGTCTGATCGCTGTTCTCCAGGATGAACCGCCCGCTCACGCCCTCCCTCGCATCCAGCACCGTCTCCTCGTACTTCCAGACACTAGAGCGCGCAAACCCATGTTGCTTTAACGCCTTGTTTTCCTCCCTGCTCGGCTGACCGAAGATAGGCCAGCAGATGGGGATCCCGCCACGGACAGGCTTGGACCCGTCTAGACTGGCGAGGGAGGAGACGAAGAACCTCTCTACCAGGGCAGGTCCTTCGGCAGTGACGGGGACCGCGCTGGTGCCTGAGATGGAGGGCGAGATCCAGGAGATGACTGTCGCGCCATACAAGAGGATTGTAGTACTGGCGCCTGCAGGATGGTGCAGTACGACACGGTCAGATTGGATGTCAACGGGCATGTTAATGTAGATGGTGGTTGAAGAGAGATGAATAACAATACGCTGTCAGTGACAGGGGGATGACAATGGTCACCGTTGTGATCCTGTTCGGTTCATCGTCGGGTGATCCGTTCATGAATGAGGTCATGACACGTGCGCCAAGAGGGGCTGTACACGGAGGCACGTTGTTCAGGGCGACTGGCCCGTGCACCCTGGAATAGGGTCCGTGCGCGTCGATTTTCGTATAAAGACCCTTCCCTCCCGCCCCCTTCTTGTTTCCGCACCACTCTGGCCTTTTGGCTTAGATCAAGTGTAGTATCTGTTCTTATTAGTTTAACCACTAATATGGTCGCACCGCGATCATTCTGGTTATCTTATTTTTGCCGCCCCGTCGTTCATCCTCTGGCATGCCATGGTGAACGACAAGATGACCTTCCTATTGCACTGACCGGGTTGGGTCGTCAGGGGATTATACCTCTACTCTTTACCGCTCTTGGGTACCCTGCTTTCAGCAGAACCTGATCCGGTAATGCGATGAGCGATCTTTCTTGTTTCGAAATATCTATGCATTGACAAACCAGACTTTGTACATTCTCCATGCATGTGTGTGTCAATATTCCATGGGTTCGTAACGCTCATAGCTCGGGATTGTCACCCTGACCAACGTGCCTCGGTGTACAGACCCTCTAGGCGCACGCATGGTTTGTATGCACTATGTCGCTCGCACCGACTTTTCCTTGATATCTTCGTATACCGTGAGTTTTGCATTACCTCTTGCCTTTGAACTTTTCAATTCATAGATCCGCGCACGTCTCGGTATTCCGACCTACCTTATTCCAGTTTCCCACAGCACCGCTGTTTCCCACAATGACCCTCAAGAGGCCAGCCATGGCCAGATCCGACAGACAGATAGTGAGCACCATCGCCCCTCTCATACCTACAAGAACGGCCAAAACGCCAAATATCGCCACACTAAGGCGTACAAACACTGTCGCAAGTTACCTCAACAGTGCAGTCTGCAACACACGCGTTGGCTCACCAACACTCCTCACAAACCGCTCGTTTCCCGCCCATACCGCAAGTGCATACCCAGTCCCAACAATCCAAAACCCATACGCGGCCATCGCGCACGGTTCTCTTCCTTCACCCAAGTCCGCCTCCAGTACGAGAGGTGCGCCACGACTTGCGTGAGGGGGAAGGAGGTGAGTAATGATGGTTGCAGGATGAGGGAGAGGGCGACGAGGAAACAGAGGAGGGAGGAGAGGATGATGTTGGTCTTGGCTGCTAGTGGGAGGGGCATGATGTGCCGTCTGCTTTGGACTGGGCAGTAAGAACGGTGCTGTGTGTTATGTACTTCCAGTCTGTAATCAAGTACTGCATAGATGTCTCACTGAGTTGGGTTGGTGAAACACGGATTGATGATTCGCCCAATTCATTTCGACGACGCATTGACTTTTCAGCATTGACAAGTGGTGCCGTTTTGATTTTCAAACAAACGTGGTCGCCAGCAGTCGAAGATCGTCGAAGATCTGTACCTTTGACAGGGCTCGTCAATCCTTCTTCGCCGCGGATCAACGGATCAAGCTACGCCATGCCATGCCCAGGACGGTCCGCTCCAACTTCAACGACGACTGCATCGTACATGTTCTCGGCCTGTGCAAACCCTACCGAGAATGTCATTGTGGAAGATCCCAGCTTTCGAACGTACTGGTCTGCTCCGGAGGACTACATCGGTTTGCACAGGGGCATTCGACGAAGCTGCCAAATCGTCAAGGAGGTTGAGGTTGTCGTCTACGTACGCTAACCATTCCGAACGGTAACGGGATCGACGAAGGTGAGCCTCGAGCCTATCGTCATCGTGGAATCATGCTAACGCTCGGCACAGAGCTCTCTCCCAGATCTGAGCGCGCCGAGTGCATTTCGAAGCCTTTCCAGACGCACAACCGTCCGTGTCGTTTGGTTTCTTCTCAGCAGCAGAGGGTGTGGAACGACAGCTCCACCAGGCTGGTGGAGGAGAACACCTGGTGCTGGGTACCTCATCGCTGCCAAGACGACCCTCGACCAACTTGAACTCAAGAGCCCACGCTCTCGAACAACACCTCCACTAGACTGCAGGAGAACTCCGAGGCACTGCCGAGAACTACGAGCTTCTTCGCGGCCAAGACTGACGAAGAAGGCTCGGCCTGCAACTCCTATAGCGCGGCAATACGCATTTTAAGTGGGATCTCGACAATCTTGCCCCTCCTTCTGTATGTGCGATCCGCGGCTGATCTTCGTTTATACTCTTGACGATCTTGATTAGCTCTTTGACCATATCTTCCGGGACAGCCTGAATTCCCGATCTCCTTGCTGTAAGGAACGGTTTCGTTGAGAAAGCGGATTATCTCGCGAGTGACCATGCCTGGTTTCGGATTGACGTGCGGATGTCACCAGAGCGCCGTGACTAGTCTGAAGACCCACCAAGCCGGTGGAGGAGCTTCGTCACTGCAGGTGGGTACTTTCATAGGAGAAAAAGAGAAGCACACTCATCAGCTGAATAGGCGTCTTCAAGTGCCAAGGCCTTCGCGACCACTGAGCCAAGCACAACGTCCCTGACGTCTTTACAGACGCGTCCCGAGAGATGACGAGTACGGCATTCCGGACGTCACGAAGTCCGCCAATGTCCTCGGGGTGACCTCTGCATGACGTGCCCCGATTGGAGACGGTCGTTTGATAGCGTTGGCTCGGATTGGTCTCAAACCTCCTAGGAGCAGATGTAGTGGAGGAGGGCTTGCCCGCGGCACTCCTCTCTGGTTGCGTAGGTATTCATAGCTCCCCATTAATGCTTGATAATGAGAGCCTTATTTCGTACATGTTCTATTCGGTTTCATGAGAGATGAGCGGCGGTACCGGATACCAAGTGATGGCGCAATCCTTCAGCTTGTTCGGAGGGCAGTAAGATCAGCCCCTGCTTGCAGAGCATCGTTCATCCCAATTGGCCGAGCTAAGATTGGCTTTGAGAGATCGGGAACCTAGACCAGGAATGGACCAATTTCCGGTGTTCGATAATTGATCTGCTCATGCTGGAGAGCTTCTGTCGGTCGAGACCCGGTCTGGGTTTGGAAGGTGGACGCTGTGCTGTCGGCCTCGAGTGTTCGAGGAGGGATATGGATGGCGAGGAATCTGGGTTCGGTTGACAAAGCCTAGTTTGAATGCACTAATATGCATTATTGGATGAACCTTGCGCATTGAAATGTATAGGGATCGCGGCACGCGTGCGCTAGACGTCGACAGAGGGAGAAGGAAGTTCGGGAAGTGGCTAGATGTTTAGAAGGGCAAGAAGACCGGCGCCAGTCGCTATGTTGTATGCTGTGTGCTGTATAGCAAGCGCATTAATTCCCAAGAAGAAAGTACATTCGGGCGTTAGGTTGGTCGATGTCCCGCACATGTCGGCGCTATCCCTTCAACGGAGGCGCCGTCTCTGCGTTCGGCAAACGACCGACACGACCGGATGACGTCCGAACCCCAGAGAAGAATTTTCTCTAAGGGTTTCAGTACACCTTTTACCCAGCCTCAGTCTACATTCACTCTCGAATGCGGGAAGAATGGAGGTCAACTTCCGTCCAGTTCCGAGAGGACAAAGGTCAGAGAAGGATCTCAACTGACTTAACGTTATCAACACGCATGGTTCCCCCTCATATGCGGGGTTATCACGCGCCCGCAACGTGTGCACGCGAAGCCCCGCACCCGCGCCCCATCTCCTCCGTCACCTTCTGCAATTCTCTGTCCTTCAAGGGGGTGATGCCGATCGACATCATATGAGGACTTCTTGTTCTGAACGGCCGAGTGAAACAGCCGACTGGACTTGCGGGGTAACCGGGTGCTGCTGCCGGTCATGGGACTCTACATCTTTCCTCTCTGGGGCTGCGCAGGGATGAGCAAGATGGCAGATTGATACATTGTGAAAGTGTTGCCCCGGCGCAGAGGGTTGTCCGTGCCTGGACGGCGAGAATTTGCGCCTTTTTCGCGCAGTTTATAACCCGGGCTGGGCGGAGATCTCCCCTCTGTCGCTCTTTCCTGGAGGTGAGCAACTGTTAGGCCTGCCGGGATTGAACTGACTATGAATAGCACGGAGAAAACTTTTTATTAAGCTTTTATCTCGACAGCTATTCTTGTAGCTCTTCGCCACCGAGTGCTCCAGTATATCTAAGCAGACCTGCGAGCCCCACCATCAACACCAGATCAGACTACCATGGACAGCGATGGCAAGCCCACCAGCGCGCTCGTGGAGGATATCAACGGCTCTTCACCTACAACATCCCTTGCGGAGAAGTCCCATACGCATCCGTTACCTCCTCCTCACCTGCACGCTCCCCCAAGCGCCTCGTTCGCTGCCCGGCTTGAAGAGACCCCTGCGCAGCTGCTCACTGAGCTTCCGGCATACGAGATTGAACGACAACTCCTTCGCAAGCTCGACTGGTACCTCGTCCCCTGGCTTTCGTTGCTCTACCTCCTCTCCTTCCTCGACCGTACCAGCATCGGCAACGCAAAGCTGTACAACCTCGAGAAGGACCTTGGCATCACCGACCACCAGTATCTCATCGCACTAACAATATTCTTCATCTCTTATGCGGTCTTCGAAGCACCCAGCAACGTATTCCTCAAGCGCCTCAGGCCAAGCATATGGCTCAGCTTCACCATGCTCATGTGGGGAATAATGATGACCGTCCAGGGGCTGGTGCATGATTACGGCGGACTGCTGACGATGCGCTGGTTCCTGGGGCTGTTCGAAGCCGGCCTTTTCCCTGGTGTCAACTACTACCTTTCATGGTGCGTTCACTCCCTCTAAATGAATGCAACATTTTATAACGGAGAGCAGCTGGTACAAGCGCTCGGAGTTTGGCATACGCGCTGCTGTGTTCTTCTCCGCTGCTACGGTCTCGGGCGCCTTTGGCGGGCTACTCGCAGCGGCGATTAGCAACATGGAAGGCGTAGGCGGCAAGCCAGCCTGGGTGCGCTTTTACCCTCGTACATTAAACGATCACGTGAGCTCATGAACCGTAGGCGTGGATATTCATCATCGAAGGCTTGGCCACTGTGCTCGCGGGTGCCGCCTCCTTCTGGATCATCCAGGATTTCCCTGACACGGCCAAGTTCCTTACGGAGGAAGAGCGCGCGTTCGTCATCCGCCGGTTGCAGGAGGACGATCAGTTCTCTGCCGCAGGAGAAAGCTTCAAGTTTTCGTACGTCTGGGCTGCTGTAAAGGACTGGAAGACTTGGGTCGGTATGTTGTGCTACACCGGTGTTGACGGGCCGCTGTACGCGTTTTCCCTCTTCACACCGAGCATTATCAACCAACTCGGTGCGTTCGCCTCTATAACAATGCGGAACAACAAAGCTAACATCTTAAACAGGGTACACTGCGACCCCCGCGAACTTGCTCTCCGTCCCTGTCTATGTATGGGCCTGCATTCTCACCTGCGGCGTGGGGTGGCTAGCAGATCGCCGGCAGACACGTGCATACTTCAACCTCATCTTCCTCACTGTTGGTGCGGCAGGATACATCATCCTCATCGCTTCTCGCAATCCCGCGCTGTCCTACTTTGCAGTTTACCTCGCAGCATCTGGAATCTACCCGCTCATCCCTAATACCGTGGCTTTCGTCAGCAACAACACCGAGGGGAGCTACAAGCGCTCTGTTGTCCTGGCTATGGTGATCGGATTTGGGAACCTGAACGGCGCTGTGAGCAGTAACATCTATCGGGCTCAGGATACGCCCTGGTATCGTCTTGGGCATATCATCGTGCTGGTATACATTTGCATCGGATTCATCAGCACGGTCGTCATGATGATAGGCTTGAAACGGGAGAATGCGGCGAGGGAGAGGGGGGAGAAGGACGAAGTAATAGAAGGAGAGAGGCCGGTTGGCGAGAAGGCGGTTGGGGACGCGAAGAATGGGGTGTATGAGACGGTCGAGGATGCGAAGGTGAGTTGGTCCTGTACAGAAACGGGGGCCCATGACTGATCACATACCGCTAGAGGGACAAGGGGGACCAGTGGTCTGGGTATCGCTATGTCATCTAGGGGTGTATCGACACCTGCTGTCAAGAGCCCATCCAGATGAACGACAAGAAATGTGAACATGATCCGAGCGGTGGTGTGTGGGGAAGTATCGATGGCAGGAAGAATAGATTGAATGGAATGGAATCCTATGTCTTTTTGCGGGGATAAACCACGGGCTCACGCGGCCATCAGAGGCAGGTAAGGGATACTGGTACGATGCTCAACATGTCAGGCCGACGTCGCGGCGTCAAACGTCCACCAAACGGGAATGCTTCCAGCAGATCCTAGAGGCGCCTGATAGACTCCAGATACTGCCTTCTTGTCAGCGAAGCGCAGTCGTCGACGACCTCTACCAAGTTTTCCCCTTGTAGAGTGCGGTTCTCAGACATCCAGATTCGTCCAGACTCCGGTGTCTCTTCTTATACCTGAAATGTACATCTATGCTCAGGGTACCATTTCTTTCGGGGCACACAAAGTTGAACGAAGTACACTCCGCTTCACGCGCGAGAAGTGGTGTTAATATGCTTGAAGTTTCTCATATGGACCGTACATGTGAGGTGAAGAAGTGGTGAGAAACTTCATCCTTTGCGCTTTCCCTGCTCTTCGCCACGCCCGCACCCACCTGTGGGGCAAACACACAGAATGCGACGGCCGGAGCGGACAATCAATGAACTCCTGTGGTCCTTCTAGTTGGGAAGGCCTTTGGCGCTCTTCCCCGCGTAAGCCTGATAACTGTGGTCATGATCAGCACTCGTGATAGCGTCCTGTAATACAAGAATCTACCGAAGGGCAGCAGAGGCAGGTGCGACCTTCATAGGCGCAACGGTCGGAACACCAAGGGTCTTGGAAATGCCATCAGCGAGTGACTGGTCGATCGCAGCCCACACGGAGAGCTGACGCTCGAGGACGACCTTTGACTTGATGTTCTTCATGTGCACGGACAGGTTGTGGATAGTAGCGGCACGTTCCTTGTCGTTCATGACCTTCTGGTACAAAGCACGTGGCTGCTCCCAGTCGAGCTCAGTCATGAAGCTCAGATCCAAAATGCTTGCACCGAGGAACTGTTCGTGCGAGGCGGTCGTGTACGCGCTCTTCTTGTACGTCAATGGCTGGATGGAGCTCTGGTAATTGGGGCGGGAGCCCTGGTTGTTGAACGCCATGGCACCATCACGCTGGAAGTTGGCCACGGGGCAAACGGGGGCATTCACAGGCAGCTGCTGGTAGTTGGTACCGAGACGATGGCGGTGGGTATCCGGGTAGGAGTAGAGACGGGACTGGAGCACAGGGTCGGCAGAGGGCTCGGCACCGGGAACCATGTGGGAGGGTGAGAAGGCAACTTGCTCAATCTCGGCGAAGTAGTTCTGGGGGTTCTCATTCAGGACAATCTTGCCGACGGGGCGGAGGGGGTAGTCAGAATGAGGCCAGATCTTGGTCAGGTCCAGTACGCTGTAGCGGAACTTCTCAGCCTGCTCTGCGGTCATGGTTTGCTGAGAATAAATTTCAGTCTCCCGACCACATCCCCACAATCCGATGAACGTACCACAGACACAGTCCAGCTGGGGTAGTCACCCTTCTCAATCATTTCGAAAAGCTCCTGTGTGCCGTAGTCCGGGTTGTCACCAGCGAGCTGGCCAGCCTGCTCGTTGTTGAGGGTCTTGAATCCCTTATCGGCGATAACGTGAATCTGGACATAGACGAACTCGCCCTTGGCGTTCACCCACTTGTACGTGTGACCTGAGTAGCCGTGCTGGTGTGCGAAACCATCGGGAGTACCGCGGTCAGAGAAAAGGATCAGAACCTGATGAGCGGACTCCGGGTTCTGCGAAAGGTAGTCCCAGAACATGTCTACATCTTTCAGATGCGTTTGTGGGTCGCGCTTCTGGGTGTGGATGAAGTGGGGGAACTTTGCCGGATCACGGATGAAGAAGACCGGAGTGTTGTTGAAGACCCAATCCCAGTTGCCTTGCTGGGTCCGGAGCTTGATCGCGAACCCACGGGGGTCACGAGCAGTATCCGCGGAGCCAGACTCACCGCCGACAGTGGAGAAACGCATGGTCAGATTGGCCTTGTTGCCAACCTTGGAGAAAAGGTCCGCCATACAGATGTCCGTGACATCGTGAGTCACCTCGAAGTAGCCGTGGGCGCCAGCACCCTTAGCGTGGACGACACGCTCCGGAATACGCTCACGATCGAAGTGAGAGAGGAGATCGATGTGATGGAAGTCTGAAAAATCAATCAGGACCATTGTTCATATGTTCTTGAGAAGGTACTAACCCTGAATCGCCAGAGGACCAAAAGTACCAACACGTCCAGCAGCATATGGCTAAACGGCACCAGTCAATAACCGAAGAGCGATGGTATGAATCATTTCTTACCTCCTGTACGGGCGCACCATTGCTGGTGGTGTAGGTAGCACCATCCTTAGTGTTGAAGACTTGCTGAGAAGGCATGTTTCTGGATTCCGGTCACCGTGTCAGTTGGCTCAGCATATAAAGCACTAGTCAGGTACGTACCTTGTTGTGTAGGAGGTCAATGTGCGGCGGGCCAGAGGAAAGCGGGTACGTTGAACAAACGCGACACGGCTGCTGGCTGCTCTTAAGGAGGTCATGGGGCTGGGGCTAAGGAAGCACCAGAGCACACGATCGGTAACTCCGAGGAATAAGAGGGGCGTGCGTACTCTAAATATTCTCAATCAAGAAGCCCCAAATGGTGAAAACACATTGTGACTGACAAGTCAAGGGCAGAAGTCCGAGGAGTCCGACTGAAATCAGCCCAGTTTGGTGAATCTTTGCCTGGCCACGTCACGCCGCCTTTCCCGAGTCGTCCTCAGAACTGCATGTCGATCTTCATCGACCTTCAAGCCTCCATCTTACGCGCACCTTCTCTTCCGATCAGTCGGCGCGGTGACCGTGGATCTGCTTCCAATGCAACGATGGTGATTGATAGGATCATGAAGGCTCCGTCCACCTAACCAGCATGTGTTTTGTTCATTTAAGACAGCTAGCAGTCCCCTAGGCTCAAGAAAGAACAGTGCTAGCATTGAGACGATGTTCCACAAGCCCAGCGGTGACCATGACGGACGTTTCTTGATTGTAATTGACGGGCCAATCAAACTGTGGAGGATGTCGAGGACCAAGTTGCGGATTGGTCAGTTTACTTCATGAATCGATCCTAAGTCCGCGGAGTAAAGGATTCGTCCGGTCGGGATCAAATTAGAGCGCCTTCGGGGTTGCGGGTCTCCACAACTCCTCATCCACCTTGCAGGTCCCGTGCGGCTCTCTAATGGGCTCGTCAATATTGTACGTACAATACATCTCCATGCGGTCGTCTATCGGGAATGCGCCATACTTGCGACATTCGGAGAAAGGTGCTCCCGGGGAACAACAGTTGCTCGTCACGCGCTCTGTGTATGGCGCTGGCATGTTCTGCTGACAATTTCGAGAAGACAACGATATTTCCTGATTTCAATACCTTAGGCACCAGACGCACATTGCTGGATATGGATGACAGGGCGCTCTGTCCTCTACCGCCCGCCGGGAACTTGATTCAAGCACGATGAGAAGAGGTAACCAGCTCAGGCCCTCGATACCTTATCTTATCTTGGCACTATATTTGGTCAGTGTTCCGCGCACTATAGCTTGAAAGCTGTTCCTCTTCAACCCGAAACTACGGATATGATGTAAACTTCGACAACAGTCGTGTTTCTTGCTGTTCTCGGATGCTCCTGTGATGGTTTGAAAAGGCCATCGGTGCCTGGGAACAACGGTTGCACACTTCCGAAACTGCCGCGGATCAAGAAAGGCATTCCTTGTGTGCCTAGCGACCCAGGAATCTGAACCCTTGTACTCTCTCAACGGCAGTCCAGATTAGCGTTTCAGCTACGGATACACTCCCATATCTGTCAATCCTTGCTCACCGTGAAGGAAGCAGGTATTCTCGAGCGAAAAGCATACTCGGTCGGCGGGCTTGAAAGAGCCGAAGCAGCGGGCATCAAGCCAACGACGTCCGAGGAGGTGAACATATCTCCTGGATATCTTTGTAACACTCTGAGAGGCGCTCGGCACGATGTCCCCACGACCAAGGACGCCGGCGGAGGTACAGTCCACAGCTCGGCAACTTCTTGCTCAGCCACCAAGTCCAACAGAGAAGTTTTCTGGCTGATATGCATTACTCCACCTGTTAGTTGGGTCATTGATACCTGGTCTGCTGGCCATGTCCAGGTCCAATGAGACTGGGGGGATTACGTTCTTTTTGCCCTCACGCCACGGGACAAGACTTTCATGCAACAAACTTTGTTCTCCCTTTTCACACCTGTGAGTCGTCCTGCCCGCCCCTGGAAAACATTCGCTTGCATTCGCTTCTAGTCGGACCTCTACTACGTTTACGCCTCACCTCTTCAGTGGGGCTGACAAGGACCTTCTGGACCGTTGATAGGCTCTTCCGACCAAGGGGCTTTCAAGGTCTGCTGCCCTAGTCAGATCCGCAGCACTTTCCCGAAGTTCGCAGCAATACTTAATGTGATACCCCAACGAGCGAGGCAATAAGTTCACCCCAGAAGACCATAGAAGCTCACGATACCCGAGGCAACACTATGAACATTTTGGCAAAGCATGTATCCGCGGGCTCAGGCAGTTCAGCAGCGGCCTCCTCGTGTTCTGGAAGTCCGTTGCTCTCTTCGACGAGCGCAACCTAGCGGGGGTTCTATCGGACTCAGACCGGCACTCGCCGCTCTCCGGTAATGCGAAAACTGTCAGTTAATACACAATATGCAGACGCGTGACGCACAGGGAAGTCAAGAGAATTGTGCTGCCTCACAATGAACCTTGGATGTTGAAATGCTTCTCATAGGTTTCTCAGGGTGATACATGCTGATGTCGAGAGCTTTCACAACACACTTCCCGGATCCAAGAAGTCACGGAAGACATTGCCACCTTCTAGCATGACTGAATTATATCGGCCCGACAAGCGGCACAACCTCATGTCCTGGATCCTCTAGAAGTTTATTATCAAATACAACTGATAAAAACACCGTGATAATATACACTGCGATACTTGATTGGCTGCGGCCCGTCCCTCAGCACAGTGCACCGCGGCCTACTTACAAATAACTAAAACAGTACCAACGCCAATATCTCCCCACCGTCACCCACCTCGAGGACGCATCCGTCGAACCCGAGCAGCCTCGTTGTCTGCCCTACCAAGAGGGGGCCATCTCGCGACTCGCTGGCACGGTCCAGGATCATGCTGGGCGGGGCGTCGGTTCGAGAATCCGTGTCGTTGGATAAGGGCAGAGGCGACAGATATCGGATAAGCGTGTCTGGTGGAGAAGCGACTGTTATCGGCACTGGACTGGCAGCGTCATTCGATGATGGTGACCCCGAAGGCTGGGCAGGGATGAGCTGCCAAGGGCAACGCTTGTATCGCTGGAAAAGGGCAGAACCGACCTGGAGCGCGATATGAGCATGTAGATATTATTAGACAAGGATCAATACCCACAACATTAGAATGCATAACAATCTTCGTGACCCTGTGCGTCTCCCCGTCCAGCAGGAAATCGAGCCCGTGCTGGAAGTAGTTATAAAAGTCTATTTGTTCGTCAGCCAGGAACACCAAACATGGCCAGAGACGCACATGAGTTGTTATCTTCCTCCATTCCGGAAGCTGCAGAATGGATACTCATTCGTTCGTCTGTTTTGTAGTGTACTCGGAGGGGTGGACCGAGGTCTGCGAGCAGATCCTCCGCGGTAGTTTGGTGCATCGTAACCCGGATTGGTTCGGGAGGGGTGGTAGAAGTGAGCGAAGGGACAAAATGCAGGGTGACACCTTGGTGCATCTTAAACGGCGTCAGAGAGTGATGAGAGTCATATGGATATAGGCCAACCGTGATGTCCGCCCTCTTCAGCTCACCAACCATCGCTTGGCACTCCCGTAATCCGTCCTCCTGGTCGACCTCCACACCATCTCGCTCCTTCTCCCGTTGTACAACCACAATCCTGTCCACCTGCTCCTCCCTCCCCGCCCTCCGCGCTTCTCCGTCTTCACCCTCCGCACGCTCAAACTCAAACACTATCCCAGGGAAAATGAGCCGTCGTTTCCCCTTATATGTAGGCCCAAAGACGGCGTTGACATCGGAGCGCTTGAAGTGCTGGGATGGGGAAGAGATAGTTTGAGACTTGTACGTTAGTCGTAGTCCAGAGTATGGAGGAACAGGGGTGATGGGATGAAGAAGGATCGTATGAAGGCGCTGCGTTCTCCCGGTAAAGAGGAGCGACACATGAGGCGGTAGTGTTATGATGATGGGTGATGTAGCAGGCGCTTTATCCTGAAATAGTCAAAATAGTACAATGGTCAAACCATATCTACATACCTCATTATCGAACTTGATCTCCACTTGTGGGAATTGTGCTTTTCCCTCCCTGAGCGTGTCCAGAACGTTCCAGAGAGAGGCTCCTGAAGAACGCGTTAGGCGCACATCAACCAAGCTCAACAGGAGGCCATGCACCAACCAATGTCGAAAGGACCTACACCCTGCCCGGGTCGGACGTCAAGCTCGATTGTCGACATGCCAGTCTTTGGTCAGCCCAGCAGGAGTGTAAATAGGAAAAGCTGTAATAATTGACTGGTCGTCGACTCCTAACACGGCGTTGTCCCCTGTAGGGACCCTTGCCCTGGAACTCGACTTCTCCTCCTCACTGATTGCCCACCGATACCCATGGCCTCGTCGACTGAGAAGCTAGAGGGAACGACTACTCCCAGCGGTCTGATTACAATACCCGAGCCAGAAGAAGAGGACGGACCTGAACCTGGCCCGTCGAAGCCCAGGGCTCCTCAAGTCCGACAGGACAGACTCTATGTGGGAAATCTACCTTCATCGGTTGACGAGTGCGTCATCTTGGGTTAGGCACGGGAATATGTTGATTGATAAATGATACAGATATACTCTCATCAAGGCATTCGAGCGCTTTGGCAAGATCACTTCACTCGACTTCCTCTTTCATAAAGCGGGTCCCCAGAAGGGGAAGCCCCGTGGCTACGCTTTCATCGAGTTCTCCAATAAAGACGTACGCACTTCGCATATAGCGTGAATAATACTAACGATTGTATAGGAAGCACTGAAAGCAATAGTCACAATGCACGATAAGTTGGTGCGGGGTCGGAATCTCGTTGTAACATTTGCGCACCAAGCACCGCCGATGGATGAGGCAGGCCGCCTGGGCAAGCGTAAAACGGATACAGCGAGACCGACGGCATTGAGCTTGCTCAAGAATCAAGCAAAGCTCAAGTACGTAACGCTTCGTGCACTTTTGATTCCTACAGGCTAACGCGCATACCAGAACCAACGATAAGATCGCGGTGCTTGAGCGTAAGCTGGCCCAGTTGCAAAAGGAACAACCAGCTTCAACGGCTCCCGTTTCCACCTTGCCCCAAATCGCCCCATCTCTCCCGGATCCTCTCAACCACCCCCTTCCACCAAAACCGTCAAGCGTCAATTCACCAGTGGCGTCACCCTCCAAACCTGTTCCAGCACCGGCAGGTAATATGAGACGACTGCAGGACGAACCTCCGGACCTGAAGACATTGATGGAGATGCAGCGAAAGCAGAAACAGAGGGAAAAGCGGTTCGGACATAAGCCGATCGGGGGACGATGACCTTGCATTCAACCACCCCCTGTTATGTTTCTGTGGGTTGGAGCCATTTCCTATCTCGTATAGTATCGGCACGACTGCACAGTGATGGTCGGGAAGATGACAAGGCTGCTCGCCGTCCTCTAGCTAGGTGATGCCGGCGATGTATTGGAGTGGGTACTGTTTTCCTCCGCTTGGGGCGGTGGTGAGGGACGAGCGGCCCTATCATGGACCGCATGTACATTACGGTTTATGTATCAGATGTATCACTTTGAAAACTCTATAAGATACACTTCGACATCCAAGCCATGGCCAACGAGGATTAGAAACAGCGAGACCCCCTTGAATTCCGTTTACATCAATCGTACGCACACTTCTGCAGTTTTCGCACCAGTACACTCCCAGCGTGAAATGTCCTCCCTACGCATAGTAGTCGGTAATGCCAGGTGCTCTAGTACGCCACTGTCGTTTCACTCCCATATCCGCATGGCCATCATCTTTGAGATTTACTCTCGGTTCTGCATCAGGTGTGTCGAATGGCGGATTCTGGAACAGCACATTTCGATGCTACAAATGACATTAGATTTGGTCTCTTTTATCATGTGACAGTACGTACCATTCCCAATGTCAAATGGATGCCGGAAGGGTCGCCTTTGTACTCGGCCAAAGGACCCACCGGTGTCCGCCATGGGCATCGGCCAGAGTTTTGATATTCTTTGCAACAATTATTGCCTGTTTGAAGCCTGGTCGAGCAGCTTTCTGCCCTCCAGTGTCCGCAACATCCCCTATGGCGAAGATCTTTGGGTAGTTAGGGTCGTCAAGTTGTAGTGCGGGTTTCACGTGTATATGGCCAGATGGAGTTATGGAGGAGGGTGAGAGGGGGCGCAAGAGACCACTCAACGGCACCTGGCCGGTGCACAGGATCTATCGGCCCGGTTTAGTACCCAACATGTGATGGGCGAGGAATACATACAGCACAGTCTGCCTTGATTGTTTTCCCGCTCTTCAGCTTGATATTGAACTCGCCTTTCCCTACCGGGAAGCCTCCTTCCGGGACAATGACGCGGTCTTCCAAGATGACGTCGATCCCGAGTTCTTTGCACCTCGTCAAGATGAGCTCATGCATTTTGGGATGGAATTTGTTCATGAGATGAGAGCGGGAATGGATGAGCGTGACATGCTTGTTTGGATAATATTCCTTGACGTCTGTTGCCATCTCTGCCAACATTGTCAGCTAACCTGCCGCACAGGAGAAACTGTACCACTCACGGACCCCTATGGCGCCGGCGCCGATGATCGCAATGTTGTTCGCATTCTTGGTTTGCTCTTGATACTCTTGGAAGTATGCAATTCCTGCAGCCTTCCCCTCGATATGTAGTGTTCCAGGAGAAGGTAATCGAGTTCCTGTAGCGATGACGAGGTACTCATAAGGCAATTCCGTGGGAGCAGGCGAGCCCTTCCCGGGTTCAAGTAGGACCTTGTCGGGAAGCACTTCTGTGACTGTCGCCTGGAGGATTTCAACGGCATCTGATGGTGTTGGACCAGTGTAGCCCTTAAGCACTCCCTGATCAACCCCAGGCGGCATGCCTGGGTTGAGGAAGGCTTCGGCTTTGTATGGGATAAACGCCATGTGTTCGTGTCCAGGGAGAATCGCGAAGCGAGGAAAGGCGAACAAGTGCTGTGTACATAGATTAAACTTGGCAATTCAAACATAAAGGAGCTACCAACCTGGAAATGAGAATTCTTTTCCACCAGCACAACTTTGTGAGTGTTGTGCATTGCAGCGGCGATGAACTCGACTGCCTTGCCTCCGACATACGATCCGCCAACGACGACGATATTAGGCTTGCTCGGATGCACACCGTTGGTTATGGGAGCAGATGAAGTGGTCATCGTGCGTCTTAGTGGAGGGGGTCGACTGAAGCCAAGGGGAGGAGGGAGGGTCAAGAGCTGGGCCCACACAGCGGCTCGGCGTAGGTACATATAATCCGGGGCTCGTTTATCAGATAAAAATTGTCTCCGCCAATTTATCGAAATTAGCGACAAGGTGCGGCGAAGCACGCAGCGCGCGAATGAGTTATGCAAGCCTATTCAGCGCTGAGACGAGTCAGGATGACTTTGTGGTACATCAAAAGCGGCGAGGCTTGCGCAGGAGTTTTGCCGGATATGGGTTGGCGAGACGTCTCCGCAGTCGGATGTGGGTTTTGGAGTCCCTGGAAATGTGTGTCGGCCGAAACGGCTGGTCGTAGCTTTGGTCCACTTGCCAGATAAAGCACGAGGATCATCGCACGCTCGCGCTATATACGCTGAGGCGGCGTGTGACTCGCCGTCGCGCAGTGCTGTCCATGACAGTGAAGTGCGTGGAAATCCTGGGCTCGTGAATGTTGAGGCGTACGCGCCGGCGCGTCGGTGACTCTGAATTTAGCCGCGTCGTCCCCCAGGGAGAGGAGATCCCATCACATCATTGGAATGATCGTGCCGATCACGCGTCTTGAATAGTTGGCTAGAATGATGACGTTTCTCCGTCCAAATCTTGATATGATTGCCGAAGCACAGAGTCGGTGTTTAGCAGGCGGCGAGAAGACCACCGTTTTCTGGAGTTCTGCAGCGCAGACCAGCTTCCATATGGAGTCCTTCAAATATTTGGCAATTGCAATAATTGCTCCTTCGAAAGTAGTGTTTTCAAAGACAGAGAACGTATAGCAAGATGTGTGGTGGTAAAAAGGATGGAGAAAAGAGACGCTCATCAGATCCGCACATGGCCACAGTGCGGAGACAAAGGACAAAGCCTCCGCGTCTTCTCAACGATTGGTATCCCCCTCCTTCACGCTATCCATTTCCCTCTCCTCGTCGTCTATACCGTCCAACTCGCCATCCTTTTTGGCATTCGCCACCCTTTAATACCCTTCACGTTTATTAACGCCTGTGACGCCAACTGCATAGGATTTAACCTTTTCATTCAAGGTTCGTGATAAATCAATGCAACAGGTCGAATGACTGTTTGGGTCCTGACTGATTTCATTCCGCAGCTCTTTCGGGCGCACAAGCCTAGCCATTCTCTCATTCCCCCTTCTCTCCTTCTGTGTCGGTATCTGCAGCTATGGAGGATACTGTGAGCAACGATACAACCATACAAGCGCCTGTCCGACCTCAGGACGGGAAGATAGAAGAAAAGACGAGGTATGGAGAGAGCCTAATTGATGGTGATCTCGGGGAGCTCACGACGCGTTTTCCGCCTTTATTCAGCGTCGTGCTTAAAGTGGGTATGGTGGGCGACTCGCAGATAGGGAAGACAAGCTTGATGGTCAAGTACGTTGAGGGCAGTTTCGACGAGGATTACATCCAAACATTAGGTGCGTCTATCGAGCATGCTGTCAATCGTTGCGCCCCTAATCCAGATCTTCAGGGGTAAACTTCATGGAGAAAACCATCAGCGTACGAAAGACAACCATCACATTCTCTATCTGGGACTTGGGAGGTGTGTATGCTGAACTGGTATAGAATGCATGCTCACACGACCCTAGGGCAACGAGAATTCGTCAACATGCTCCCCTTGGTCAGCAACGATGCGGTAGCACTGTTATTCATGTTTGACCTCTCACGAAAATCCACACTCAACTCGGTGAAGGAGTGGTATAGGCAAGCAAGAGGGTTCAACAAGGTACGTCATTGTAATCTTCTGCATGATCCGATCTCACCGACTCCTAAAGAGCGCGATTCCTTTTCTGATCGGAACAAAATTCGATTTATTCGCCCAATTAGGTCGTGATGAGCAAGAAGAAGTGACAAAGCAGGTATGTGCATTTACATGCCGCTTCCGAAATAAGCTGAACGGTCTGTAGGCAAAACGCTTCGCAAAAGCCATGCACGCGCCATTAATCTTCTCATCCACATCCGCCTCTATCAATGTCCAAAAGATCTTCAAGATCGTCCTCGCCAAAGCGTTCGACCTCAAATGCGTCATCCCAGAGATCGACACCGTCGGCGAGCCCATTGTCCAGTACCTCGACGTATGATGCGCCCTGGCTGCCAGAGCCTGCAGCCCACCGCACGCACCCCGCAGCTCGATGCATTGCGTTCCGATGCGCTGCGATGTATACTATTGCCCCCGTTCATATCGTTCCCTTTGTCGCGCCTTTCTACGGTACTTGCTGGGTCGTTGATCCCTTCTTGGACAAAGTGTTGCATCGATTTGCTCTCAGCGCGCCAGCCTCTGCTGGCTCTCCCTCTCGCTCGGGCGAGCACCCGCGGCTCCCCGCCGACAACTCTCGCCACTCCCTCCCGACTACATCTGAATAACGGCAAATGCAACTCGATCAGAAGGCATGCACGACCTTCTCCACCCCTGTCGGCTGGCTCTCGCACTCACCAGGAGCGCAATTCTGGCCTGACACTCCCTTTCCTGCTCTCCGCCCGGCATCCAGCTCCTGTTCCTGCTTCTCAGTATCAGTACTTGCACAACCCACTTATCTCTCTTTGCATTTAATTATACCCTCACACTCACTCTGTCATCCACACCCAGTTCCAGCTCCAGTTCCAGTCCCATCGGGCTCCAGAGTTTCATGTCTCATCAACCCAACCCAACCCAAGCCGATCCATATTCCATATTCTCCTTTTTTGCACTGATTACTGATTTCTCTCCCTTTTATCTGATTTCGAACAATGTGCCAGAGGGCGATGTACGTTAACGGTTAACGGTGACAATCGAGGTGGTTGCGCTTGGTGTGGATGTGGATGTCGCAGACTGGAGGGGGGAGGGGAGGGAAAAGGGGTTGGGGGGGAGGGGTTGTGCTACCGCACTGGTGGATAGGGCTAAATTTATCGTGTTGAGATTGTTGGCGAGTACTGTATGTACTTCTCATGGTCGTGCACCGCGCCCAACTGTCGGGTTGAGCACTTACTCGCTGTCTATGAGACAAGGGTCAAGTAAGAGACCGTCGTCCTCTCTCTCTGATGTGGGAGGAACATATCGTGTCGAGCAGCATGCTTGTCCACCGGAAGGAACAACAAGACTCCAGGACAACCAAACGTTGCAATGAACCTAAATCTGTTGTTTCTAGACTGGAACGGAGCCTCAGAAGAAAGCTGATGGTGGGACATCAGTCCGCTGTTTCTCATGGTCGTGCACTGCGCCCGACTGCCGGTTGAGCTCGCACTTATTCACTCCCTGTCTCCCATAAGACATGAGACGAGTGTCAAGTGTAGGAGTCGTCCTGTCTGTCTGATGTAGGATGAACATATCGTGTCGAGCAGCATGCTTATCGACCGCAAGGAACAACAAGACTATGAACTGCAAGACAATCAAGTAATCAAGCTGAATCTGTTGTTTTACTGCAAGAGCGTCCTTCGAAGAAAGCTGACGGTCAGGGACATCAGTCCGCTGTCACAATATTTATGAATTAATATTATCTAACGTTAGGCGTTTCAGGAATCCTCTGAATCCCTCCTTCTGTAAAAAGGGCCTTACGACCGGGAATGCAAAACCTGCAAACCAAACCCTGCATAAGAGGCCTAAGAGGGCCCGTATAAGAGGCTTCCCAGCCAACGTGCGATCGAGCTTCTGTGATTCAAGGAGGGGAGGGCAGGGGGTGCCTATCGACCGTCGACGGGCTAATTGCGGTTATTTCTGGATGCCACGTGGGGGATATGAATAGCTACTAGTACTGTACTGTTGCTCGGGATGCGGTTGGTCTGTATTTGGGGTTGTTAGGCTTGTATGGGATGTGGACGTTGCGTTGTTGTACGCTGTATGCCGTGTATATGAGTACTAGTGTGATGAACGAGGAGTGATAGTGACGTCTTGAAACAAGAAACCGAGCGGGATCAAATGTGTGTTGCCTTGCTGCGCATTTCTATGTGTTCGGTATTCGGTCGGTCGGTCACTAGAGAGTCCAAAAATAGGCTGAAAGGATTAAATAAAAACAGTGTCATCATGCAACACATGCAAAGGCCAGTACAGCGCGCCCCCCTTCTCTTTTTTCTCATCCCTTTCTTCTACCACCACCTCCTCGACGTCCCCCTCTTGCATCCCACCGTAATACTCCCCTTGTTCATACCCCCCAGAGCCTCAATGGCAGCCACTCGTTCCCTCCTCCCCCTCCTCCTCCTCGGGCAATCCCTAGCCCACTCCGACCTCCTCCCACGGGCACATCACGCCCGTGCCCCCTTGGACGGGACGGGGACGACAATCACAGCTGCTCCTGCTGCTTCTGAAATCGCGCTTGCGAAAAGGCAGGACGCGACCAGCACGTGTAATTTTGATCTTGTCTCCGCTCAGGTGGCTTTTGATCAGATCGTGAGTTCCCCCCCACCCTCCACTCCAAAGCGCACTCCGTTGACATGCGATGATGCGTTGTGCGGGTAGCCCTATCAAGTCGACCCTTGCACGGACGGTAGGGGACCGCAGTATGGGTACAATATGTGCAACTCTACGACTCAGAACCAGGATTCACTTTGTCAGACGATTTATCTGAACAACCTTGCTGGTGCGTCCCCCCCAACTCCCCACCTTTTCAGGCTAACATTAACTCGTTCTTCCAGACTTTTGCGTCTGGGCACCCCCAACTCCTAATACCAACATCTCCGATTCCGAAGGGTACGAAGTCGCCTGGTGCACCAAGAACGGGCACGGCACGCGGCTGATCCCCGACGGAGCGCTCAAGGGTGCTCAGCTCCTGCGCACGCCAAACTATATCCAGATTGTTGGGTTCATCGATCAGACGATGATTAATATGCCTGCGGATGATGAGGGTGGAGAACTGGATGGGAGGGGGCAGGATAACGTGCGTCGTTTTTGGGTTTCGTGTGGTTGGTAGGGGTTGTGCGCTGATGTGCTGTTTTCTTTTCTTGGTGATGTAGCGTGGGAACCCCATGGGTGGCCTGACTTATTCCAACGCGTACAACGGCAGCAACACGACTTACTACCAGATGCTAAACTGGCAATGGTGCGTCATCCCTCGCTGGCACCCCCCACCCCTCTAACACGCACGCACGCAGGTTCATGGGCTCCGACATCTTCTGCGCCAAGATCTGCCCCGGAGCGGCGTACGACCCCGACGCCTACGCCTACTGTTTCAACCAAGACGACGAAGTCGGATGTAACTACAACATGCCCAACGCCGCCCAGAACGGGACGTTCGAAGTCTGCGACGCGGATAACGCTCCTCCTGTGGGACAGTATGTGGGTGCGGACGGGAAGACGTCCACTTGGACTCAGGGGTGGACTGGGTTTTCGACCATTCCCTATACGCCCATTCCCCCGAGTAGCAGTAACTGCGTGACATACCAATCGGCGGAACTGTTTACCGATCTTGCGGGGGTGTTGCCTAGCTCTGCGCCGGCATCGTTGACCGCTTCTTCGGCAGGGGCGACCAATACCGTCGCGGCTGGGAATGGGGCGGGGACGAGCAGGAACGCTGCTGGATCTGCACCGACGAGCGGGGCGAGCACGGGCACGGGCACTTCTAGCGCTCCTGCTGCTATGGCGGGGTTGCCGATTGTGGGGATGGGATTGCTGGCGCTTGTTGGGGGGTTGTTTGTGCTAGTTTAGCCATTTGCCTGCGGGTGGGGTGATGACAAGGACTGCTCACTTTTTGACTTTTTGACTTTTGACTTCTTTTTTTTTTTTACTTTTACGTTCTTTAAGCATACCTAGCTAAAATGTCGGACTGAACATGCGCTCATGCATGTTCTGTTCTGTCTGGTTAGCTGCACATGGATCAGTCAACTACTATCGTACTTGTTCCTTTATCTACTCTGTCTGTCTCATGCCCTGCGGTGCGGTGCTGGGTTGATGGATGTCCTTCCCTTCCCTCTTTCTGGGGGTGAGGTGGGTGGAGTAGAGAGTGACGGTATGAATATTCATTATTTTACACGAAGCGTTGAGTGGGGTGATGTGGTGGATGATGATGATGTGGTGAGGTGAGGTGTATGTGACGTCAATAACCCGAGAGCCAAGACGTCATCCCTTGAGGTCGGATGTAAGCCCCCTAAGGCCGTACACCTCAGTCCGCTCCTTTCTTGTGACTGACAGTGCAATGTTAACCCGACGTACACTCTCTTCCCTCAATCGATGTCTATCCACAACCACCACAACCACCACAACCACCACCAAAGATGGGCTCTACAACCCCAAAGTATCCGCTCTTAGATTCAACTTATCACCTACTGTCGCACGCCGCATATTTCAAGTTCACTCTTATACTCTCCCGCTCTCTGCCTCCCCTGCACCTCCCTCTGGCTCTCCTCGCACCCTCCCCCTTCCCCTTCGCACGCTACTCAACCCCTTCCCCTTCTCCCCCCCCAACCCCGATACCTGGCAACTAGGACCCCTGCAACCAGTGTATGTCCCTACTTGGCACCTCAGCACGGGGTTGGAGTTGGTTTATGAGTATGGGGCGGAGAGGGGGAGGGTCGTTTGCGGGTTTTGGGATATGTGAGTTTGGTATTTCCTTTACTGTCGATGGGTGCTGAACGGAACTCGGTACTTGGGGAATTGGGCTGGGTAGTAACATCCCAGGACATACACTACCCCCGCTGTGCGACCTCCCCTTATGCGAGCCCTGGCACACACATCCAGAACCGTTCCACTCCCCTATGCTCAGCACACCTTGGGGGCAAGAAGTGCGCACGATAGGGTATGGACTCTCGCCTGTGGGGGTGTTGGAGCAGTGGTGCGAGCGCTTGCCTGAGCTGGAGTTGGAGTTGGAGTTGGAGGGCAGTACTGGAGGGCTCAAGATTCTGCCAGGGTCAAAGTTACTCCATGTACGTACAATGACACCGGCATACTGCCCAAGCTGACAGAACCCAAAAAACAACGAACAGCCAAGAGTCGTCCCCCTCCTCCGACCTGTATACCTAGCGAACATCCGACTCTCCTCCCAGGACCTATCAGCAACACTCGTCCTCCCCGCTCATACGCCCGCGTCCCTCTCTTCCCTCTTCTCCCGCAGCACATACTCCACAGTTTACGCACCTAGGGATATCAGCTCTTCCCCTGAGAGGGGGGTGGGGGTGTACAGCTCGAGGTGGACAGATACGCACCAGGTTTTTGGCTCGCTTTTCGTACTCCCCCACCCCGGGTGGGAAAAGGTACTCCCTCCCCTGGTGGTATTTTTACAAAAGGGAAGAAGGAGGTTCTCACAGTGGGAGAAACTGGGCGTGGACGTGCAGGAGGGGGAGGGGGGGATGTGGGAGAGGGAGATGATACGGTCTTGGAAGGGGGAAAGCCCGGAGGAGACGTTTGCCTGGCTTAGGGAATATCAATGAGTGCTCCACCTGCTCCCTGGGAGGCGGAGGGGCGCTGTCTTATGGTAACGTACGTTGTACAGAACGGTATTGTTGGTTTGAGAATCTACCTGCTGTGTATTCAGATAATGCTACATGCTAATACCTACGACCAAGATCCAAGATCTGCTCTCATCACCAGCGAACAGTACCATGACGCTTTAATGCCCACGACAGACATCCTTGCACTTGCACTTGTCACAAGTGACGGGGTTGAGACAGTTGCGGTTGCGGTCCCAATTGAGACCTTCCGGATCACTTCTCTCATGACGCCTATTGCAGGAACGGGTGTACGGGTGTACCGAGGTAAGCAGGATACAGCACCTAAAACCAAGGGAAGTCCAAGGGAAGGTATGGAAGCTCTCGTCAGAGAGCCCACGTTGTAAAAGTGCCCCGAATGTTCTAAGAAAAAAGAGGATGAAAAGCCCAGCGGTGGTTCGTCCACGGGAGCGGGTACGGCGAGTTGGAATAGGACACTAGGATTCTGAATGTCCTATTCTGACTCACGGTATGATGATATGATGTTCCGCGGGAGGTCATGTCCTGGACTGAGGAGGGATCTAGACTGCCAGTGGCCCAAGACGGCGGTTGAAGATCATGCAGCTCATGCGTTCTCTCCACTGGCAGGCCCACGCGCACACAGTATTCGGTACACTATCTCGTCCGTGTCTCGAACCTTGCCTGTCCAGATGTGTCGTATCAGATCCCCCAGTAAAAGTCCTGATGTGTCGGGAAAGTTCCCTTCCTCGTATGCCCGGATGAAATCCTCATCCGTTTCATATCCTTCAACGCCTTGGAAAGGAGCTTTCCCTACAAGGATCCAATACATGACACTGCCAAGGCAGTATATATCGACTCGGGAGAACTCCTCCCAATCCAACATCGGTTGGCTGCAGAAGTCCTTGACTGTCAGTTGAGGGCCGATAGACGCTGTTCCGTGGTAGTTGCCAGGGAACGACGCTCCCTCGAAGTCGGCAAGCTTGATGTTCAGCTGCTCATCGAGGAGGATATTGTGAAGCTTGAGGTCGGCATGGATGACCTTCTGGGCGTGTATTGCCTCGATTGCACACGTCACCTGAAGGCACCACCTGATGCGTTGATTAAGGGGGATGTCCGAGCCGTGCCACC